AGCAGCAGCAGCAGCAGGACACACGCAGGAGTGAGGACCAGGAGGAGGGCAGCAGGCCCAGGAAGGAGGAGGCAGGTGCGCAGGGTCCCGAGGAGCCCCGGGGCCCCTGGCGCCCGCCCCGGACTCAGGGCGAAGGCCCAGGTGAGTGGGCCTTCCCTGTAGGCAACTCTACTCTGGTGCAGGAGGTGGGAGGTGGGCTCCTGACCAGCGTGGCGGTGCCCGGACTCGCAGGGCCTCCACCCACAAGGCCAGTGAGAACCCGTGTGCTCGCCAATCACCCCACAGGGTCTGATCCTGCCCTTCAGCGTTGGTCAGCCCTGACCTAGGGTTCTTTTGTGTCTTGTAGGCTCCAAGGAAGCCTCAATAAATGGTCCTGTGAGCCAAGAGGCCTTGCCAGCAACTGGCTCGGCTGCAGGAGCCACATTTCCAAGGTACATGTGTGCACGAACCGGGGCTCCTATGTAAGGTGGGTGGAGGGTGGCCGCCGGGCAGGCCAGGGCCTGGCAGGCCACTGACCCCTCTCCTCTTCTCGGCACAGTGCTCTCCCGCCCCCCACTTCAAAGCTCAAGGACGAAGACTTCCCCAGTCTCTGTGCCTCCACTTCTTCCCCCTGCTCCACAGCAGCTTCCCTGGGCCCCGTGGGGCTGGCGCTGGCCTACTCTGTCCCTGCCAGGGGCAGGAGCACCTTCCAGGAGGAGGACTTTCCTGCCCTGGTGTCCTCTGCCTCCAAGCCCAGCGCTGCCCCCACCAGTCTCATCTCTGCCTGGAACAGCAGTGGTAGCAAGAAGGTGGCGCATCCCGCCCCAGGGGCCCAGTCTGCCAGCGGGGGAAGCCAGCCCCCCAGGAAGGCTGGGAAGGGGGGTAAGGGTGGTAAAAAGAGCGGACTGCCCCGCGCGGAGGAGGAGGAGGAGGAGGATGGCCGCTCCAGCCTCACCACCCAGGAGGTGCGGGGCGTGCCCACGACAGTCGCCGTTTCTTCCCTGCTGGCTGTGGCCTCCACCCAGACCTTCACCAAGGTCGGCAAGAAGAAGAAGGTGGGCTCCGAGAAGTCGGGTGCCTCATCTCCCCCGCCACTGCCCCCTGACAAAGATGGGCCCCCCGGGGCTGAGCAGGCCCCCGCGGCCCCCACTGGCAGAGCTGAGGGGTCAGCTGCTGTCATCGTCAACGGACACACAGAGGGGCTGGTCCCAGCTCGGAGCATCCCCAAGGAACCCCCTGGGCTCCCAAGGCCCCTGGGGCCCCTCCCCTGCCCCACGCCCCAGGAAGACTTCCCAGCGCTCTGCGGCCCCTGCCCACCCAGGATGCCCCCGCCCCCAGGTATGTGTGCCTGGCTCAGGCCTGCTTTTGGGCATCTGGGAAGGGGCCAGGTTTTTGAGTCAGGCTGGAGCCCCTGGGCCCAAGAGGAGCATAGCCCGAGGTTGTGCAGGTGCAGGTGGGGAGAGATGAGCCTGTGTGGTGGTTTCCAGCTTCCTTGGAAACCTGACGGCCAAGTCTGGATGCAGGCTCCATGTCTGTGAGCGGCGTGACTTTGGTCTGCTACATAACTTCTCTGCATCCTTTTATTTATTTTTGGCTGTGTTGGGTCTTCGTTTCTGTGCGCGGGCTTTCTCTGGTTGCGGTGAGCGGGGGCCGCTCCTCATCGCGGTGTGCGGGCCTCTCACTGTCGCGGCCTCTCTTGTTGTGGAGCACAGGCTCCAGACGCGCAGGCTCAGTAGTTGTGGCTCACGGGCCTAGTTGCTCCGCGGCATGTGGGATCTTCCCAGACCAGGGCTCGAACCCGTGACCCCTGCACTGGCAGGCAGATTCTCAGCCACTGCACCACCAGGGAAGCTCCTAGCACTCTCTTGAGATGAAGGCAAAAATGAGTTAACTTAGGCCAGCATTTGCTATGAGGGAGCACAGCATGCATGCCGGCTCTTGGCATCATCAGGCCCTGGGCCTGCTTTGTGGGGGAGGTGCGGTTGTGGACAAAGCCTGACCCTGACCCTGGTGAGATGGGCAGCTTATGGGAAGTGGGGGACCAAGGCTTGTCTGCCTGGCCAGCGAGGGTCACGTCCTGAGATCTTCCTGTGTGCCCCCCCATCCTCCACAGGCTTCAACACCGTGGTGCTCCTGAAGGGCGCTCCGCCTCCACCTCCACCGGGTCTGGTGCCCCCTGTCAGCAAGCCACCCCCTGGCTTCTCTGGCCTTCTGCCTAGCCCCCACCCGGCCTGTGTTCCCAGCACTACGACCACCACGAAAGCGTAAGTGTGCGTGGGCCATCTGGCCTCATGCCCCTGTGGGGGGAGTGCCCTCACCTTGGGCCACTCCAAAGGCTGAAGCCTCCACCTCCTCCCCATGTCCTGATTCCAAACCCAGGCCAACACCCGTGCCACGGGCCTACCTGATCCCCGAGAACTTCCGGGAAAGGAACCTGCAGCTCATCCGGTCCATCAAGGACTTTCTGCAGAGCGACGAGGCCTGCTTCAGCAAGTTCAAGAGCCACTCGGGGCAGTTCAGACAGGTCAGGCAGGCGGGGGTGTGGGGGCCAGCCCGGCCACCTGGGGCCCAGGCCTGGGCCAGGTGTGACTGGGTCTGGCTCTGGGTGGCAGGGCGTGATCTCCGCAGCCCAGTATTACAAAAGCTGCCGGGACCTGCTGGGGGAAAACTTCCAGAAGATCTTCAACGAGCTGCTGGTGCTCCTGCCCGACACGGCCAAGCAGCAGGAGCTGCTGTCTGCACACACAGGCTTTCGAGGCCGTGAGAGGCCTCCCGGCACCAAGGCCAAGAAGAGCAAGAAGAGTGCATGGCAGGCCAGCACCCAGCAGGCGGGCCTGGACTGCTGCGTGTGCCCCACCTGCCAGCAGGTGCTCGCGCACGGTGATGTCAACAGCCACCAGGCGCTGCACGCTGCCCGGGACGACGACTTCCCCTCCCTGCAGGCCATCGCCAGGATCCTCACGTAGCTCCGGACGTAGCTCCTGCCAGCGCAGGCAGGAGCCGCCACACCCATGAGCCTCCTTTCTCCCTCCTCCTCCCTCTGGGCTGCCAGGCAGCCAGGTGAGGCCACCCGCTCAGGCCCCTCAGCTGGCCGGCCTGCCAGGGATCACCAGGAAGGCCCGCACCACCCTGTCAGCACACCGTCATGCAGGAGTCCATCTGGATTTCTCCTGGGAACTGGAGAAAGACCCCTGCCTCAGCAGCAGGCTGGTCTGGGTTTACATTCTCATGCTTTTGGAAGGTGCTGGGGAGGGAAGGGCTGGGATGCCAGGACCTGTGTGTGCTGTCAGAGCCGGTGGCCACGGTGGCCCAATCTGGGACCGCCTGAGCCTGAGGGCTGCGGCACCGTGGTCCCTGAGCTGTGGGGCCAGGGGTGCTGGAGTCAGATGTTGAGTGTGTTGTGTAAACAGTTGGCTGTTTCATTATTCAAGAACGTTCAGGATTAAAAGCAGACACGAAATCGTGCTACTTGAAGTTGAATCTTTTTACGAGACTAGCTGAAACTGGGATCTCAAATTGCCTCTGACCTTTTATAAGACAGTTTATCTTCAAATAAATTTATTTTGCAATAATGCACATAGCTGAGCTTCTCTGCCTTCCGGGGTCACCCCACTCACAGTTGTCAGACACTACAGCTCAGGTGGTCACCAGTGAGTGCTGGGGCGGGGAAGACCTGTGGGGAGAGCTGGGCTTGCTCACAGGAAGAAGCAGCCAACCCTGGGCTCCAGTCCTGGAGGTCGAGCACCGCCCAAGCCTTCCAGGAGTAGAGACAGCCATGCTTGACCTACACTGTGTACCCAGTAAAACTATTCTTCCAGAACCTGGGAGTAACACAGACTTGAGGTTTCAATCCATAGACCAGTGAAGGAGCTACTAAAGATCAACAAGAACAATTTAGAAACAGTGCAGGGCATATCTGAAATACTGAAAGAAAATAATTTGTACTTAATTATTTGGATCCAGTATTTTGAAAAGGAACCAGACACCCAGTGAACTCTCTCCTTTCTGCCACAAACACATATAAATAGTAGGAAAAAAGGTCTAAACACATAGCTACATCCAAATAAGGCAACATCCTTAGATGAAAAGAAAGAGATGTCTTTCTAAAAGAAGCAGAAGGGGGTACCCCAGGTGATGAAGGGGACGTGGCCTGCAGTGGGGCCAGGCCAGAGCCACACGGCTGCATGGGTACTGCCTATCTGAAGCCGAGGGCCTGCCTGCCTGCCTGTGGCTGAGACTGGAGCAAGTTCCTGGGTGATGGCCATGCTCGGAGCCCACTAGGAGACAGAGACTTCACGCTCTTCACTCTCCATGGGACTGCCTAGAGGCCACCTGCATTCCCCACCACACCGGAGAAGCCCCTCATAGCTGATGCCCTCTTTGCAGACCTGAGCACAAGCAGCACCCCCAAAGAGTAACCTGGAAGATGAGCTATCTCATTAACAATACTGAAAATACCGATTCTTAAAGACACACACACACGCACGCACGCACGCACGCACACACACACACACACACGTTTATTGATGATGGCAACTACTATTTTCCTTTTCCGGAAGGGGAGCCTGAGGCACAGACAAGCTGAGAGACTTGCCCAGAAAGACCAAGCCTGAACACGGCCAAGCCAGCATTCCAGCTCCAGCTCTTACCTGCTTCATTCAACCAGAATGTTATTAACCAATAAGTCAGAAATGAAAAAGTAACTGAGATAAGAATCCCAATAGACAAATTCAAAAGTAAACAAGACCAAGCTGGGGAAATCTCCAAAGGGGAGTTGGCCAGGGAACGTGGCTCTGGATGCTGCATGGTACACATGGTGGTCTCCCAGGAGCAGAAGGCGGTAAGAAGCAGACATCTGGAGAAATCACGACTGCTTTCCCCAGCACTCTCCAGAACATGGGCATCAGCCTGGTCTCCACCTCCCTGTGCCCCTTTCTGGATTCTTGGCCCTGGTGCCCCTCAGGTCCCAACCTCTGGCACTGGAGGGGCAGGAGTAGTAAGGATTCCAAGAGTGTCTGGGCCACAGTAAACTCATTTACAGTCTTTATTGTAAAGAAGCTGCAGTTGGAACATGGGACACTGAAAATACACAATCACAGATTGTTCTTTCAGAAGAGGGAGGGAGAGACTCATATATACAAAAATTGTAAACATGTTCACTTAAATATCCACAAATAATTGGTCTATGCTACAATGTACAGGGTTGTCACTCAACTGCAACTCCAGAGGGAGGCGACTGTCTGTAAAAATGTAATGTGGCAACCACATTTGGTATTGACTTAATGTGAAAAGCCAGCTTTGAGCAATGCATGAGTACTCAGCTATGCAAAGGGACCCCCAACCTTGGGCTGGGCCTTAAAATGGGGTGCAGTGTGGGGAGCTGAGGGACTAGTCCAGGGAGCCGAGGTAAAGGGGTTTGCGGGGAATGGCTGTCTCCAGGGCACGGTGGGAAGGTGAAGCCTCTAGGCCTCTCTCCTCGTGAGGGGTGTGTCCTGCTGGGCACCCAGATGTCTGGAGCCTCCCTTGGGCAAGGTCTTACTGAAGGGCTGGGAGAGGGCTGATGCCCAGGCCTACAGCCATGTTGTGCTTTCCTGGCCAGAGCTGCCCGCACCCCAGCAAGGGCCTGGGCCAAGGCAGGTAAGGGCCGGAGCTGGGGCCACAGAAAAGAGGGGCTGCTTGTGGGGAACTACGAGGTGAAACCTGAAGACTTGACCACAATCACAACATCGACAGGGCTGGGCTACTCTAGTGAGCCTGTAAGAGGAAATGGAGGGAGGCTCCAGACAGAGCACATGGCCCTACAGGGTGAACCACCAGGACAGAGCAAGGACCACCACTACCCACAGGGACAGGGGATGGGGAACAGTGGCCACGGGGTAAGGGTGGTGTCCCTTCCCCCAGTCACCCCCAGTCCAGGGCAGCCCCTGCATCTGGCTATGGAGGGCAGCTGGACCCCTGACACCAGAGTGTACAGGTGAGCCCTGCCTGGCTGGCTCATGAGGGGAATGGCCCGCTGCCTAGGCTGGTCCACTGGAGGCTGAAGGACACGTGCCCAGGGCTGTGCTGTTCTCTCCTCAGGACCTCTGGCCCTGGGCTGGGGACTAAAGGGACTGGAGGAACTTGGGGGGAACAGCCCAGGCACCCTGGAGGCTACCCTCTCTTGGCCCCAGATGGCCCACAGCATCCACACGTTGCTGCTGGGCCAGGAGGACCTGAGGGAGGTCCCAGGAAGCCTTGGATCCTGCATTGGTGGGGCAGCCTTTGTGCCTTGGTCTGGGCCTGCTGGCCACTAGTAGGCAGGAACCTGGTACCCTTTGGGGCTGGTGTCCAGAGTCTCGGTGAAGGGCGGGCTCTGGTAGGTCTCGGTGCCCTCCACACCGCTGCCCACTGGGTAGCCTGGGTAGGTCTGGCCCGCCCCAGCACCCAGCTGTTCGGTGGCAAAGAGCGACATGTCGGTGCCCAGACGGAACCGCTGCAGGGCCTTCACGGTAAGCGCCGCCTGAGGGGGAGTCCGGGGTCAGCCAGGGCCGACCCTGCCCCGACCCTTACCTGGCCCCAGTCCCTGCCGGCCGCAGGCCGCCGGCCGCACTCACCCAGCTGAGGATGGAAAAGAAGCTGAAGGCAATGGCGGCCCGCGCCGCGTCTGCCGCCTGCGTCGTGCCCGGCCCGGGCGCCGTGCGCTGCCACTGGTTGGTGAGGAAACAAAAGCCCACGAACCACAGGAAGGACCAGAGCCCTGCGGGCAGGTGGGCGGGCGGGTCAAGGGATGCTGCACCGAGACGCCCGGCCCAGCTCTGCCGGGAAGGAGAATCCGCAGACCGAGAACCCGACCCGTCCCGCCCACTCCCGCCCCGCCCGGACCTGTCCCCGCCCCAATCGGCTGAGAATCTACGCGCTCCCTCTGGCCCCGCCCCGAAGCCCGCCCTCCCGACTCCGCCCACCCGAGAAGCCCCGCGCGCTCCCCCAGGCCCTGCCCCTCACTGCCCCGCCTACCTGAGAAGCCCAGGTCCAGCAGCACCGCGCGGCGACGGTCGCGGACGCTGCTGATCTGCTGGAAGCGCACGTCGAGCAGCAGGAACGCGGCGCAGGCGAAGAAGGCCCCAAGGCCGAGCGCGACGCCGAAGCGGCAGGCACCCGCGTTGCCGTTGAAGACGCAGCGCAGCTCCGGGCCGCTGTCGGCGTTCACGTAGCCCTCGTTGACTATGGGCCCGAAGACGGCGATGGAGAACACCTGTGGGCGGTGGGAGCGCTCAAGGCCCTGCGATGGCCCCTTCCTGGTCGAGGCCCGAGGTCTCCTAGCCCACCGTGAGTGCCCATGCCCTCGGGAGTGTCCCTGCGTTCCCCTGCAGCACAGGATCTATCTCTGGGTGGGGGTCTTCGGGGACCCCCTCCCTTAATATCTACCTCAAGTTTAGTAAGTATGGACAAAACATACCATTTAGTGAGCATCAACTGTGCCCAGGCACTGTGCGTAAAATGGCTACATGTGTTTGCTCATGGAATCCTCCCAAACAACCACAAGAGTGCCACTGCTCTTATCCTCTTTGTAGATGGGGAAATCGGGGCTCCAACAAGTGAAGTGCCTTGTGGAGGGTTGCATGGTTGATAAAAGCCAGGGCTGACATTCAAGCTGGGTCCTCTGTATCTTGTGGAGCCCGTAGTGTCCCCCATGGCCCACTCCAGAGTGTGGGAACAGGAGCTTTCACCTGGACCAGTGATCCCCAGGCCCGAGTCAGCAGGGCTAGGGGAAGTAGATGTGGAGTCAAGCAAGAAGGGTGGGAGTATGGGGGGGGGGCAGGCAGCAGAAGGTCAGCTGCACAGAGCTGTCAGCCAGGACCTGAGTGGAACCTACCCTCAGCATTTGGGAGCTGTGCAGCCTCGTTTCTTAGCATGCCAAATGTAGCAGGCACAACTCATGGGGTGCTGGGGACAGGAATAATACCCACCCACCATCCTGCACTTTGTGGGCACTCCAGGGATGATGGCCCCACATGACTGTGGCTAATTAACACCATCCATACATGCTTGGGCTTAAAAGGCGACACTGTTGACCTCTCGGGTTCAGTCAAACCTCAGTGCCCTGTGCCCACAAGGGCTGGAAGGCAAAGGAGTGTGGACCACAGTCCTTTTAAACCAGAAGCTGCTCTTTGAGCTCTGGGCAGCCCTATATTTCTAAAAAAAAGACCTCTAATTTCAACTTCATTTCTCTCCTTTCCAGCCCCAGCTCCTAGAGACTTAGTCAAGAGTGAAACCAAGGTGCAAGATATGGACACGTACCCACAGATTGGTCCACAAGTCAGGTCAAAGCTGGGACCAGAACGTAGGGTCCCTACTTCCTGGTCTGGCCAGTCACTCCACCCAAGGGCCCCTGCCCCACTCTGGGCACCGCCCTCCTGGAACACAGGTGAGTACGCGCCACCACCAGCCACCACCAGGTGGACAAAACCCATAACTCAGCATTCCACCTTCCATCTCTCCTGCCTGGAGGGATGGGAAGGAGGAGCAGGCCACTGGGCCTAAGGTTGCCCCAGTAGGCTAGGCTGCCTCTAAATCTGCCCCTCCCACACCACCTCCAGGAAGCCTTCTCAGTGTAGAGCCCCTTCCAGCTGCCCCACTCAGAGGAATCCCAGAGCACACCCCCCAACTCACAACTGCAACTGGGGGGCCTGGGAATGGCCAGCTCCCTTCGAAGGAACCAGGAGGATGTGCGTGCAGAAGTAGGGGGTAGGCTCTGCCTGATTCTCTTGGCTCCGGTAGCCCTTACTCGTGCTGAGGCTGAGCGCTCAAGCCCCTCCGCGAATCCCGCCCCCACCCCTGTGCCCGCTTCCAGGGTGTAAGCACATGAAAAACCGAGCGAGGGCTGAGGAAGGGGATTGAGTTAGACCTAAGGAAGAATTGAGAGGTGGGTGCGGCGGGCAGTGACCTCTCAAGGTACCCGGCTGTCGCCGCCGGCCCCTCCCCCGCCCGCAGGTGGGCACGCCCTGCCCGGTGACGTCACCCCAACCTGCGGCCGGCGGGGGAGGGGCCGGCAAGGATGAGGAAGGGGGCTAGAGGCAGGTGATAGGGATGAGGGAGGCGAGGCGAAGTGGGACGGGGTATCGGGGCGGGGCTTGGGCCGGGGCCACTCACCCAGGACGCGATCCGCAGCAGGGTCTGGGGCCGCCGCGCGAAGCTCACAGGGTCCAGGGTGGCCCCTGCGCGTCCCGCGCCGAACGAGGCTCCCTCCATGGCCAGCCCGGGCGGGCCGCGTGTCCCCGGCGCCCTCTGTCCTTCTGTCCGTCGGGCCGACCCCACCCGAGGCCGCCCGGGGCTGCTGCCGATGCTGCCAGTGCTGCCGCTGCCGTCGCCGCCTTCCGGGAGTGCGCGCCGGCCGCGGCGGGGGCGCGCGGGGCGGGACCGAGCCTACACCCCTCCCTCTGGTCCACGCGCGCAAGGCTGGAGCACTCACCTCCCTCCACCTTGCCCACCTTCCACCCCACCCCACCCACTCTCACCGCAAGACCAGGGTCCGAGATGGAGACCATCCGCCAGGTCCCCATCAGGAGGCGGGGTCAAGGGGCTGAGTCCCCCACGGCCACTCACAAGTAGTCAGGAGTCAGCAGGGCAGGTGGACACTGGGCTCAGCCTTTGCCGTAGCCACGTGGGTGGACAGACCGACATGACCCCACTCCTCTGTACAGGGCCCTTTCCTGAGTGCCTAAGGAGGTAACAGGTCCAAAGGCTCCAGCGTCTCCCCCAGCCCTCAGGGAAAGGGAACCCAGCTTCCTGCCTCTGGTCCCCATAGACCAGAGGGAGGTTACTGGGGCCTTTCCCATGACTTCCCACTGCACCCTAGCTTCTCCTTCACATTCTATCCTCCCTAACAGGGAGGGAGGATGGCCTCTGCCCTCAGGGGCACTTGTCCAGGCAGGCAGAGCCCAGAGGCACACATGGGTGGGAGTTGGGGCATCTCTGCTCTTTTCCTGTGGTTGGATGTTGTCATTCCGAGGGTGCTCACTGAGCCCTGCACACTCCTGGGTCTCCCCAACTGACTTTCTGCTGACATATTTAGTTCTGGGCCGAGGAGCGGGGAGAAGCATCAGAGATGGGGAGTTGGAAGAGTGGGTACCTAGCTTCCCAGCACCCCCGCTGGGTCTTCACCACAGATGGCCCAGCTCCAGGTTAGACAAGGTCCCTTCCTGCATGTTCCTTCCAGGCCAGCCTGGCAGGGGCCCAGATGACTCCTGTTTCTGTCTAGGACATTGAGGAAAGTCTGCATTTGTTGAGCATTTACAGTGCCAGGTGTTTCACCATGACCTGTGGAGGCAGGGACTGTTTTACTGCCATTCTTCAGATGGTAAATAGGCAAGTGGGAATTCCCTGGTGGTCCAGTGGTTAGGACTCACGCTTTCACTGCGGAGGGCCCGGGTTTGATCCATGGTCGGGTAACTAGGATCTTGCAAGCTGCACAGTTGGCCAAATTAAAAAAAAAAAAAAAAAAAAAAAAAAAAAGGGCTCCCCGGTGGCGCAATGGTTTAGAATCCGCCTGCCAATGCAGGGGTCACGGGTTCGAGCCCTGGTCTGGGAAGATCCCACATGCCACGGAGCAACTAAGCCCGCGAGCCACAACTACTGAAGCCCGTGTGCCTGGAGCCCGTGCTCCACAAGAGAAGCCACTGCAATGAGAAGCCCACGCACTGCAATGATGAATAGCCCCCGCTCACCACAACTAAAAGAAAGCCCGTGCACAGCGAGGACCCAACGCAGCCGTAGATAAATAAAAAATAAATAAATAAATAAATAAATTTAAACGAACAAACAAAAGGCAAACTAGTTGAGTTCCTTCATCACACTTAGAAAGTGAAGAGCTGGGATTCAAATCCAGATCCCTACTGTGCCAGGGCAGGTGTGGCCAGAAGTGCCACCCACTAGTTGACTCCATGACACTGCATCCAATCCTATCACCTCTCCCCTGTCAGTGACAGTTTCCTCTCTTTCATTTCCCCCTTTTACTTGATCATTTACATCAGTGCCTAAACCTGCTCCATTCCTGAGCCCACTTCCCCTCCAGCTATCACTGCTCCCTTTAGTCCCAGGGGCAATGCAGCCACTGCCATCCTGTCCCCATCCTCCTAGGAATACTTGTGATGTCACCCTCTCCTCGTGTTCCACCTACTTCATGGGCCCTTTCTTGTTATCTCTTTCTGGTTCCCTCCTCTTGTTCCATCTGTGACCTTTGAGCCTTAGGGGTCCCAGGGCATGGTCCTGGGGCTCTTCTCCCTGCTCTATGCTCACTGTCTTGGTCTCCATGCTAACAACTTGAGCCAGAATTTTCCCTTGAACTACAGTCCCACTCATCTTAGCCTGGATACCCTGGAAAACAGAATCTGTGGCAAAGTTAAAGAGTTTTATTGGGAGGTGAAACTTTGGGGAAGCCAGAGTTAGGGAAAAAGGAAAGTGAGGCAGGGAAGGAGGGAGAGCAAACATGGACGGCGTGCTCCTGAGCTGACCACAACTTTGCTGGTTCCCAGCGCACAGGTGACCCGGGAAAGGCCAGAGACAAGCCCTGTGCTGGGGACGTCCATCTGTAGGAGGAAAGAGCAGTGACTTCTCTGCTGGTTGCTCCCTGCCTCCTATTTCTTTATGTAACCTGGCCCCTTGGGCAGCCCCTGAGGAAGCCAGCACCCCCGTGGGGCCAGTGGGGTAAAGATGCCAAGGAGGCTGTGCCAAAGGTTGGCCCCTGCCCAGGGAGGAGCCGAGACACTATGGGGAGAGGTGAGAGCTGTACAACCACAGGGGTACGGCGCACTGTTGCTGGGCCATTCCAGCTGGGAGCCAGTGCCTGGGAGCAGGTGTGCCTGAGAGGGTGTGTGAAGGCCCAAAACCTGGGTGCAGGTCACCCCCAAACCTGCTCCACTCAACAGCCTTCCGCATCTCACTGATACACTGGGCAACTCCCTCCTTCCAGCGGCCAGAACCCCACAGCCACCTTGGGCTCCACCTTCAGAGTGTAGCCAGTGAGGCCTCCCACTCATCCTGGGGCGAGCTTCCCTCTCGGCTGCCACAGGGGTATCTGCCCCCCCTCCTCTCGCCCACACCTGCCTCATTCCAGCTCAACAGCCAGAGGGACCTTTCAAAAGTCACATTTTGCTGTTCCTCTGCTCCAAACCCTCCACTATGTTCCATGGGAGCTGGGTGTTAAAACCACATCCTTGCTGGGGCCTTGAGGACCTCCTGCCATGTGACCTCCCCTCACCTCTCTGATCCTCCCTTGGCTCCAGCAACTCAGCCTCCTTGGTGTTCCTGGAACATCCTGGCCCACCCTTGCCTTGGAACTGCTCCCTCTTCCTAAGGAGCCAGAACCCAGATAGGAGGAAGCAGGAGACCACAGAGGGACGAGGGCAGGCCCTGTCCATCGCTGCAAATCCCAGCACAAAACACACTGAGGCCAGGTCTTCAGTCACTTCTCCAGCATTTTATTTTTGGTCTCAAGCTCCACGGAGCCTCCTCTGACAGGCCTGGGACGGCTCTGTGAGACCATGAGCCAGACAGAAGGCGCACAGCAGAGCTCAGCCCCCAGGCCTCTTTCCTGAAGTGCAAATGGCACACAGCCTCTGCAGCTACCGTCCCTGTTGTACCCCTAGCTGTCCCTAGCTACAAGATGGGGAGACAGTGGCCTGGCCCGGAGGGGCGAGACAGGGGAGCCCAGCCAGGCCTGTCACCTTCCTGTGCGGGGAAGTAGCAGCAGGGTGTCAAGTGGGCAGGAGGCCAAATCCTAAGGAAGGGACAGCCTAGGCTGCTCCTGCCTCCTTCACCTGCAGCACCACGGGGCGCGGGTTGAGGAGGAGGCCATCAGGGTGCCTGCAACGGGTACCCCCACTTACACTCAGAACCTGAGAGGGAAAGGGCTCCACGGGTAGCGTCTGGGGACCACCCAACTGAGACAAGGCAGGCTTTGGCTCTGACACGCACTTTAATAAGCCCCACCCTCTCTGGCCAGGCCGCCTACAGGCTCTGGCTGCCCTCTAGTCACAGGAGCCGTCCTTCCAGCCGTCGCGCCAACGCTCGTCCACCAGCGAGCAGTTGAAGTCCGGCTTGCCTAGCTTGCGGTTCACCTCGTTGTGCAGGCGGCATAGCCACTGGGTGAAGCAGGCCCGAGTGCGAGTGTCTGGCTGGTTCCTGCATATCCTGCGTGTGGGGGAGCACAAGAAGGATGGCAGGCAGTGCTCCCACTGTCCCCGCCCCACCAGATCCTTGCCTGCTCAATTCAGGGAGGAGAGCTGGGGCACTGCTGTGAGCTACACCCAGAAGTGCCCTCATGCTCTGAATTCCCAGAAGGGGGCAGACCCTGCAGCAGCAAGGCCTGGTGGACTCCTAGGCCTGCTCAAACCCTCACCTCGGGAGCTTTGCAAACCGTGGCAAGAGCCCTGGGCAAGACATTGAGGCAGAGGCCTCAACTTTACAACCTGGTAACAATCAGGAATCCTCACCCCAGCATCCCTGGCCCCAGGCAGTGTGTGGAAGGGGTGGGGTTGGCATAAAGGCAAAACTGAAAAACAGATCTGTTTCTTAGCACCTGTGGCCCTGCTACATCAGCTCAGCAAGAGACCTTGTTCTAAATGCCCAGGCTTCAAACAGCAAGGGCTGCCCTGCCCCCCACATCCAGCCCAGAAATGCCATGGGTGCCAAACAACAGTTCTTGGGCTCCCCAGTGAAAAAAAGGTGGCTCCTGGAAGCAACAGCAATGAGTTCCCAAGGTCTTGAAATTGGCAGTTCTGCTCCAGAAGTTAGGCAAAGTGGAGTCCTCCGAAACCTGCCAGAGCCTCCATCAGTGCTAAGCAAGGGATCTCATGAGGGAAGCCCTCCCTGGGAGCCTTGTGGCTGCAGAAAGAAGCAGTACCCAGCAGCAGCCCCAAACAGCTTGGCCTTTGAGGAGGAAGAAGATGGCTCAGATGATCCAATCCCTTCTCTGTTGGTGGTCCCTGCTCTCAGCAACCCTCTGCCATCTCTGCATCTTATTTCTCTAGGCTCCCCTTTATGACATCAGCCAGGGGCCCCAGGCCCAGGCTCCAGGTGGGATGCTCTGCTGCCTGCAGACTGTGCAGACACAACTTACCTTTTCCTTATGTCTTCAGCACACTCCTCACACGGGTAAAACTTGGAAAATAAATGTATGAACTGAGCCATATCTTGCTGCTGTTCTGGGGTGGGCAGGTCGGGATAGTAGGCCGCCAGGGTATGGAGGACAGACCAGCTGTGGCGGCCCAGTTCCTCGCGATCCGGAGGACAATCTTCCCTAAACTTGCTGTCCCGCTGCGGAAAGAGGCCGACAAGAGTCAGTTCGGTTTTCCCCAACCAGAAACCTACAAAGCTCCCCTTTTTCCCCCACCAGCCGCAGGTCCGCTGACTGGAGACACAAGTCCTGAGGCCGATCCAGCCCACATGTGGCTAAGAGCCGAAAGGCCTGGGCTACCTTGGCGGCAAGGTTTAGGAACAGCCAAACCCGGGAGGCAAAGTCTCTCAGGCTTAGGGCCTGTGGGAACGCTCGGCCTGGGCCTTGGGAAGTCGGCCCGGGGTGCTTGAGAACAAGGTGTGGGGGCCGGGGCTAGGAGTCAGCAGGGCTCGCGGGCCTCTGAGGGGAGGTGGCGCCCCCCCGCATCTGCACCTTCTGCTGTGTCCGCATCCACGACTTGAAGTCCACGCAGGCCCGGCAGGGCAGCCTCCGGGAGGCGTCCTCGGCGACCTGAGAATCGGAGGCCGGCGCCTGGGATGGCGTCCGGGCCGAAGAGGCGGAATCTCTCCGCCCCGCGCCCCGGCCGCGCGCGTCCGTCACCAGGTCGTCCATCACCTCGGAGCGCGCGCCGCCGGGTAGGAAGGAGAATAGGTTCCCACCGCCGAAACTCCCCCGCTCGCCGGGCGCCGCCATGTTGCCCGCGCAATGCCTGCCGGGCCAGGTCGGCCTCCAGATGGGCTTCCAAGTCGGCCTCCAGGCCAGCGCGCGCGCAGCCGCCAGGGCGCGGCCACAGGAGCCGGGCGCGCGCGCCGCGAGCGCGGGCGCTGGGGCTGAGCCGGGGCCAGGGGTGGGGGCGGGGCCCGGGGCGGTATCCGGCATGGAGGCGGGGCTGGGGGCATTGGTCTGCGCCCGGGAAGCGGCAGAGACAGGGGTCCGGGCTAAGGACGCGTCGGAGACCCGGGTCGGGGTGTGCGCGGAACCGGAGGCCCGAGTCCTGGCCGCGCCCCTGGGCCTCGTTCCACGGCCTGTGCCCGACCTGCGTCGTCCGTGTCTGCGCTCCAGCCTCCTCCAGTAGAAGAGCAGCGTGCTGTGGAAGACGCGCCCTGGCCGTGCCGCGGCCTCGGGCTGCGGCCTCGGCCACGTCCGTGTTACGGTCTTCGATGCCCCCATTGCTCCGCTCTGACCGTCCCGCGTGCCCGCGGCTCTGTGCCCTCAGTTGGGGGAGCGCCCAGCTGGGCCGTGAGCGCACAGAGGGCGTGCTGTTGGTGCTGGGGGTCCACGGGTTCCACTTTGGCGACCGGCGCCATGGCAACGGGCGCCTGGCAACGCGGGGCAGGGCCGTGCCTGCAAAGGAGGAGGTGCGTCTCTGGGCTCCCGCGAGTACCGAGCAGCCTCTCTCCCCCGCCCCCCGCCCCGAATCCTACAGCCTACTTGAAGAGGTTAAACCCACGTCGGGAGTGGCCTCAGGGATACCTCTGCTTCCATATGTACATTAATTCATTCTGCAAATATTTGTGTAGTGCCTAATCTGTTCTAAGCACTGTTCTAGGCACTGGTCTGTGCAAGGAGCAAGATTTGTCCGTCCGTGACCTCCTCAGCTCATAGTCCAGTGGTCAAGACGGAAAAAACAAAACCAAACAAACAAAAAAGAGTCACACTAATAAATGTTCAGGTACAAACTGTGATGGGGGCCATGAACAGGGCATGGTAAATCTGGGAGGCCTCCTTGAGGAGGTGACACTTAGGCAGTGGCCTGAAGGATGAGGAATCAACTGAGGAGGGCAGTCAAGGCCAAGGCAGGAGGGAGGAGGATCTTGGCTACTTGCATGGGCAGAAAGGCCAGTGGGACAGGACCCGGGAAGGGTGGTGGGAGGAGAGATCCAGAGGTGGCCAGGGACCCACCAAGGACATCATCAACTGCCGTGGCAGCTGGGAATTTATTCTGAGGACCCTGGGAAGGTGCTGGGAAGTTTTGGGCAGGGCACCCTGGCCTGATCCCATTTCTGTTTTGCAAAGATTCCTCTGAAGAGTGGATTTCATGGTAGCGTGTGAGGAGCACAGGCTTTGGGGGAGGATGGGGCTGTTGGTAGTTGTCCAGGTGAGAGACGAAGGTAGGGGGTGTCAAGAAAGAAAGAGTGGAAAGGATCTAGGTTGTTGGGGGTGTAGAGCAGGGGCTCTCAGTTGGCATAGGGAGAGGCCTCAGCATCTTTCTAGGTCCCTGGCTGTGAGTAAGCTGGCCCTTCTCCCACTTCTCTCCTCTGTCTTCCAAGGGAGCAGGATCTGTCCCACCCTGTACCCTACCAGGCCAGTGGCCCCCACTGAGATTGGCAAGGTGACAGCTGGGCTGAAGGCACTTTGCAAAAATTAGGCCTATGTCCACAGGTGTTCATTGCCTGGGCCAAGACTAGGGAAGGTTTGAAGGTTTCAGAGAGAGCCACTGGTTGGACAGATACACAAAGGCCTTTTGTCAAGGCCAGAGTGGTTTCCTGGAGGGATGCCATAGAGGCTGACCCCTCCCTCGAGGGCTTGGGGTAGAGGGAGTCTCAACACAGAGCCGGTGGCTCCAACAGGGGGAAGAACCACTGTGTGCCAGGGTTGGATGGGGCTCCAAAAATCTCCCCTATAAGGAAGCAGTCCAGAGATGTGGGGCACCTGGGCACACCACCTGTCTGGGGATTCTAGGGCCTTCCCTTCACCACCCCAGTTAGTGGGGGGATGGTCACTCTTGATCTCAGAGGCTGTGTTTACAGCAAACTATGATAAATCATGAATTCAGAGATGGCTCTCAAAACAGTCCTAGTCGCCACTTCCCCCATCCCCCAAGCGCTGGTGACCCTCTTCATCCTGCCCCAAGTCTCTCCACCACAGGGGAACCTATGGGGTAAAACTGTGACGTCCGCCTCTCCTCAACACATAAAGAAAGAAACCCTGACAGTTAATATCCATTTAACACAAATTTCCTCCTCTGTGATTTGGGGACATTATAGAGACCTTTCCTCCAATGTGAGGATTAAGCCAAACAAAGCACTTAAAGCCTTTAACACTGGGTCACTGGTTCCTGATGACGACTGCTGTTAGCTCCCCAGGGAGTTCAAAGAGCCAAAGGGCACAGCCGGCAGGTGGCTCTGACCGATCTCAGCACTACACAGGGTGTGGGAGAGCCGGGAGGTGTGGCCAGGCCTGGCGGCACTTTGATGGCTCTTCCTTCTCCTCCTCCTCCACCCACCGCCAGACTCCAGCAGGAGGGCCTCAGGCCGCAGTCCCAGCCCCAGCCCTTCCACTCTTTCTTTGCTTCTCCTCCCACCCACGGAGCCCTGTGCTCCTGCCCCTCTACAGGCTAGGGGTGCGGTGAGGAAGCTGTGAAGGACCCAGTCACAGGCAGGGAAGTGCAGCAAGGACGTGGCAGGTCTGGGGCATCGCCGGAATTCCAAACCGTCTTCTGGGTACCCAAGGCCTCCCCTCCTCCCCAAGTAGGCAGGGAGGCAGTGGGACGCTTGACCACACCCGACAGACTCCAGAAACCTGTGACGGAGATCTGGGGAAGCCACAGCGATGGCAGGCCCCCGGCACCCGGTGTCTGTGAGTGGGGCAGCTCTGGTACAGACAGACAGGCTCCAGGTCGGGACTGATGGGACCCCTGCCAGCCCCAAGGGGGAGGGAGGGAGTTCCTGGCCTAGCGCCTCCAAGAAGCCCCCAACCTGTTTCATCTAACAGACGTTCGCCTTTTCCGTGTGCTGGTCGGATGACAGCGACACCTTTGCACGAAGAAGCTGGGAGGAGTTCAGGAGACTCCATGTGAGTGAGTTTGGAGCCACCCTGACTTCCCCCAACTGCATGACCCACCCGTGACCACCCCGCATTGCCTGCCCTTGTGCCCACTCGGGCTTCCAGCCCCTAAGATCCTGGAAAGGGACCCCCGCCCTCCCAGGGGAACAGTGGGCCCTCGGAGACTGACACGCCCCTTCTCGCCCTCAGAAAACCCTCAAGGAGACTTTTCCAGTGGAGGCGGGTCTGCTGCGGAGATCTGACCGCATTCTCCCCAAGCTTACAGGTCAGGCCAGCAAGGATCCCAGGAGGGGTGGGGGAGGCAGCAGTCTGATGTGGGGAGCCCTGGGGTGTGTGTCTCACGGTCAGTCCTTATCCTGGCCACAGATGCATCGTTGTTGGTGCACTGGGGCCGCACTGGCAGAGGCCTGGCACGCCTGCAGCTGCTGGAGACCTACTCAAGGGCGCTGCTGGCGACAGGGGAGCGTGTGACCCACAGCCCGGTGCTCACTGGCTTCTTTGCACCACAACCCATGGACTTGGAGCCTGTGCTGCCAGCTGGCAGGTGCCTGACCCACCCCCAACTCTCTGCCAGCAGAAGCATCTGGAATATGGGGGAGGCGGGGTGGAGGAAGGGCCAATGAGGGGAGGCTTAGAGGCTGAATAAACAGGTGGACATCCCACCTCTCACCTGCACCTTCACCAGCCTGGTGATCCTGCCTGCCCCACAAGAGCCCCTGCCAGGCCCCACGGGCAGCCCTGCCATCCGCAGCCAGGAGGCTCAGAGCCTGCACTGTCTGCAGCCCTTCAGCACCCAGGACACATGGGGCCAGCCCTTCCATGCTCGGGCCCAGGAGGCCCTAGATGTGCTGCTGCGACACCCCTCAGGTGGGCCTGGGTGGGAATCTGGGGACACATCCTTCTGCCCCCTGGGATGCCAGTGGGCCTCAGGAACCAAAACACCCCCTGCCCTTATCTTGGGCACAGGCTGGTGGCTGGTGGCGAATGAGGACCAGCAGATGGCATGGTTTCCTGCTCCCTACTTGGAAGAGGTGGCCCTGGGCCAGGGACGAGATGGGGAATGGTCCCTAGGGAGCAGTGGTGAGACTAACCCTCCTCCCCACACCCACCACCACGGGGCTGTGTTCGGCAAAGCTGAGTCACAAGCAGCACGCAAGCCAAGGGAATGAGGCCTTGGGACGACCAGCGGGTACCAGTGGCCCTGTAGTGTGTGCTTGGTCCCCACAGTGAGGCGGAGCCCCACTGGGTTTTTTTTAAATTTAATTTACTTATTTATTATTTTTGGCTGCATTGGGTCTTTGTTGCTGTGCACAGGCTTTCTCTAGTTGCAGCAAGCAGGGGCTACTCTTCCTTGCGGTGCAGAGGTTTCTCATTGCAGTGGCTTCTCTTGTCATGGAGTACGGGCTCTAGGTGCGCGGGCCTCAGTAGTTGTGGCTCATGGGCTCTAGAGTGCAGGCTCAGGAGCTGTGGCACGTGGGTTTAGTTCCACAGCATGTGGGATCTTCCTGGACCAATGTCCCCTGCATTGGCAGGCAGATTCTTAACCACTGCGATACCAGGGAAGCCCCGCACTGGGTTTTAAAGCGGTCCCTGGTGTCAGCAGAGATCCAGAGGGGAGCCCGGAGGTGGTGATTCAGCAGGAGATGATGCAGGGACTAAGAGGTGGGGCCCTGGCCTCTGTGGTGACCACCAAGGATCCGTTCCCAGGGTACCAGTTCTGTGCTTCCCATTCCTACGAGAGCAGCCAAGCAGATGAGCTGTCTGTGACCACAGGGGCACGCGTGCGTGTGCTGGAAACATCAGACTGTGGTTGGTGGCTGTGCAGGTACGTGGGGTGGGGCTCTGGTGGGCCCAGTCTAACAGAGGCAGGGCCCAGTGCTAACCAAACCCCGCCCTCCCCCACAGGTTCCAAGGCCGTACTGGTCTTCTCCCAGCTGCAATACTGCAGCCTGACGGGCTGGGCACACTCCTCAGTGGACCATGGCTCCACCTCAGGGTAGATGGTGGTGAGGACAGGGAGGGCGAGGCCCAAAGCTCCCCCAAGTCCCCCCAGGCCACGACCCTGCCGCCTACCGTGCCTGCCCGACCATCTCGGAGTGCCATTCAGAGCTGCTGCTGCACCATCACCTGTGAGGCACTGGGGCAGGACCCAGGGTGTCACGGACCCCCTTGAGAGTGTGTGGCATGTTGTGGAGGGCTGCGCTGTGCACCCCACAGCTGGAGCGGCAGGCCAGAGGCTCCAGACCCCAAGGATGGTGGCTGCCAGCCACATCAGCCTCAGGGCTGTGGGATGCGCAGTTGAGGGTGGGACTCCCTGGCTGGTGGGGCAAGGAGACTACACTCTCCCTTGTCTTCTGAGTAAAGTTCTCCTGACTGACCCCCACCCAGTGTCTGTGCTGAGGGGCAGGGACTGGGGGATCTTGGGCCAAAGTGTGGGGGCGGGGCTGGCTGGTGGGCCCAGCCTCGGGCTGGCCCAGGCAGTGGTCCAGGACCTGGGGTGAGACAAAGCCCAGACAGACACAGGCAGCTGAGATAGCAAAGTACATGTTTTGGTGTGTTTCAGAGGGCCGCGGGGGCCGCGGGGAGGGTGGGCAGCTTCATGTTGTGCCATAGGAAGTCCAGGAAGGTGGCTGCCTGCAGCATCCGGCTGAGCCGTTGAAAGTGCCGCTCTGGGGGAGGACAGCAGGCGATCAGGGTAGGAGGAGTCTGGCTGGACGGCCCCCTGCGCCCACCTGGGGCTGGGTCTACATACCAGTGTAGGGCAGCAGGGCCTCAAGTGAGGCCCGCACACCGTCGTAGGCCAGCAGCTCTTCCGGGGCTTCATGCTGCAGGAGCACGGCCAGCATGGCCTGGGCTTCGTGGCAGTGCCGTGAGTTGGTGTTCCACGTGACACAAAAGCGCAGCAAGGCCTCTGTGGGTGATGGGGACTGTCAGACCTGCCTGCTGGGCCACCCCAGCCTTACTAGGCACCATCCAGCCCTGACCTGCCTGCCCCAGACCTTTCTGGTCTCGCCGCAGTTGGAGCACCGTGGCTTCCAGCTTCTCGCAAGCCTCGGGGTCCCTTTGGATAGCTACGGGAGGAGAGAGGAGACTGAGCCCTGGGGAAGGACCCGAGAGACTACCCCTGCCGCCTGTCTGGCCCGAGGCAGCACTGACCCTGGATGACAGTCAGCACAGTGTGGGGCCGGTCTAGAGAGATGGCCAGGCCCAGCGCCCGCAGGTACCGCTTCTCGTGGAGCAGGTTGTCCAGTTCTTGTTGCCTGGTGGGGGAAGGAGGGAACAGGACCACTCGGGGACCTGGCTAGGGCTAAAGGCAGAGCCATCGGGGCTGGCTGAGGAGTCTGCAGCCCGGGCCTGAGCACCCGCTGGGGGTGAGCTGTGTTGCTGCTCCGAGCCTTGGTTTCCCCAAGCTATAGAGAGAAGGGACGCCAACGTGCCCTATTCCAAGGGGCAGGGGTGGTGCTAACACATGGGACTTGCCGTGAGGGGTTGGGTGGAGACCCCCAACTCACTTGACCATCTGCTCCTCTCTCTTGGCCTGCTCCTCTGCCTGCTCCGCCTCGGTCACATCCTGGGGTCAGACTGGGGTCAGACTGGCACACCCACGCTGTCCTGCCCACTGTCCCCCCACCCCACCCCAGGCCACACACCTTCCAGAGAATGACACAAGAGTCGCTGGCGCCGGTGAGGGCATGGTCATCCAGCCGGCTGCAGTGCAGACCCCAGACCTTGTCCTCGTGGGCGTCCAGCGTCCTCACACACTCATTGTTCTTGATGGTCCAAAGCTTCACAAGCCCATCAGAGCCGCTGTGTTCAGGATTGGGAGGGGGCTCAGCCCTGGGGCCTGCCCCTAGCTCACCCCTAACCCTGCCCCGCCCTCACCCACTCACCTGGACAGCAGCTGTGTGCCGCGGCTCACAAATGCCACCTTCAGGACAGAAGCATCATGTCCCTCGAACGTCTGCAGGGTGGGGAGAGGGGAGGTGTGAGGTGTCACCAGGTAGGGGGCCAGGCCTGGGCTGAGGGAGGCTTACCTTGAGGCAGCTGAAATCCTGCAGTGCCCAGAGCTTGACAGTGCCATCGGCCGAGGCCGTAGCCAACACCTGGTCCATGGGCGAGAATTGGACACACCAGAGGCCACGCCGGTGGCCCGAGAAGACGCCCAGCAACTGGCACTGTGGCAGGGCCCAGAGTTTGGCCGTGCGGTCCTGTGACCCCGTGGCCAGCAGCTTGTCGTTGGGGGCGATGGCCACACTGTTGATGTCCTGGTGGTGGGAGCAGACAGCAGCTCAGATCCCCATCCCAGCAAGGGCCCTGCTACGACCCCACCTGTGTGCTGCGTGCGGTCACCTTGTCGTGGCAGTGCTGCGTGGCCCGGGCCTGTAGGAGGACAGGTCCACCATCGGGGCCTGTGCTCTTGGATGGCAGGGCTTCAGGGAGGGGCCACAGCTTCACAGTGCAGTCCTGGCTGCCCGTCACCAGGAAGGTCTCCTTCAGCCTGAGGCCCGATTTGGGGGAGGGGGAGACACCTGCTGAGCCCTGGCCAGCCCTGTCTGCAGCGCACCACAGCTCAGGCCTGTCAGACCTTGGTCCAAACCAGAAAGACTGTCCCAGAATGTGAACTAATGTGCCACCACCTTAACACCTCTGGGACCACCTGCTTCCACTCGAGTCTGCACTGTGTGCCCTCAGTGCTGTCAAACTCGGGGACTTGGTCCCAACAATGGGAGCCCCAGGCCTAAAGAGCACCCTCTCCCCCTAGAAGCAGCTTAGTGTCATTGTCCCTGGTCTATCACCCCTCCCCTTTTATCCACACAACCTTAAGATCACTTCTTAGGAACCTCCTACAGTAGCATCTGAGGATGCCCCAGCCCCTGTTCTCTAGTCCACATTCCTAGGCTGGAGACTCAGAGAGCAAGGCAAAACCCGCCTCTGCCTCCGTGACACCCCGGACCCCAGCCCTGAACCACTACCTTGAGCAACAAATGGTGCCCACGCTGTGTGTGTGTCCAGAGCCCTGAGCCACACAGGCCACCTCGCCTGCCTTGTTCATCCTCCAGACGCAGATGCTCTGATCCTGGGGATGGGATGGGTGAGGAGAGGCTGGGCTGGGCTTCCTGACCCAGGACCCTGTCCCCCGCACCTCTCGTGGTGCTTCACCTTGGCACAGCTAACGAAGAGCCACCCCTTCCGGAACACATCTAGGGCCAGGACAATATCTAGAAAAAGGTGGAGAAGAAATGGCTAGAGAACAGTTATGGCAAGGAGGGGCAATCCAGTCCTGGGTGAAGTTCGGGGGCGCTGGCCTGGCGCCCTCACCTGTGTGGCCGTGGAGAATCTGGCAGGCGGACGTCTGCAGCTCAAACACTTTCAGGCAGGGGCTGTTAGAGGCCACCACAACGTGGGAGTCCTTGGGCCCGAGGAACCGGACGTCCAACACCTCCTCACTGTAGCCGGCAAACTGTAGGGGCAGGAGGGACACAGGCCAGGGCCTGTGTGAGTGGAGGGCTGGCATCCTGGGCTGTGGGCCGAGCAGGGGCAGTGCTTGCTCACCTGTTTCTGCAGCTGCAGGGAGCGGGCCTCATAGAGAAGCAGGTTGTGGTCAGCAGTGACGCTGAGGAGCAGGCCAGCGGCTCGGGCCAGGGTGCAGTGGGTCAGCTCCCGCCCGGGACCTGGCAGCTGCCGTTGTGCATGGACACACTGCCCAGAGGCCGCCTCCCACACGCGCAGTGTGCCTGTGTGGGGACAAGGGCCGCTGGGACTCACGGGTCCACAGGCCTCCATTACCCCTGCTGCCCGCCCTGGCCTGGCCCCACCCACCTTGGTCGCCAGCTGTCAGGAAGTGCAGGCCCGCAGACTTCACACCCAGCTCCGGCGCCGGCTCCTCTGGCAACAGAACTGCAGCCTCCACACTCTGAGGACGAGCAGGTCAGAGGTGGCAGCCCCGCACCCCACCCCGCCCCACTCAATGGCCCTGGCGCCCCACCTCAAACACCGGCACGGTCCTTGTGGCCTGGAGGCTCTGCAGGTCCCAAACAATGCAGATCTTGTCACGGCCTGAGCTGGGGAGAAACAGCCACCTCAGTTCCCAAGTCTCAGTTGTGGCCGTCCCTTTCCTGCCAAGGCCTGGGTAGCTGGCTACTGACCTGAGCATGGTGTGACCATCGGCACTGAAAGTCAGAGAAGTGACAGCGCTGTAGTGGGCAGTCAGCATGGCCAGGCACGACCGGTCCTGCAGCGACCACACGCGGATGCTGGTGTCTGCGGCTGAGGAGAATAGGAGCAGGCGTGCGGGGTCCGGGTGGAAGGCCACCAAACTGCAGGCAGGTGGAGTGGGGCTGGTGAGCTATGCCACCCTGACTGTGACGCCCCACCCACCCGCCCTCCGCCACCCCTACTCACTGTATGACACCCGGTGAGCCCCGAAAGTGGTGTGTCCCATAGTGCTGCACGACATCCCAGACACGCACAGCCCCATCACAGCCGCCTGTGGGAATGTATTCGAGGTGCAGGGGCTGTATGCCCAAAGCCCCCTGCCTGGCTCTAGCTGCTCCCTCTACCCAGCCGGAGTCCTACCTGTGGCTAACAGCGTGGAGGTGGGGTCAAAGGCCATGGTGGCCACAGGGGCTGTGTGTATTGCCTTCCACAGGCGGGTGATGCTGCCCTCTTGCCAGGCCCACTGAGCCAGCAGCAGTGCCCGGCTGGCTGTCACCAGCACCTGGGGGAGCACGCAGTTCAGCTGGGGGCAGAGGCATGGACGCCATCCTCATCAACTCTGGTTGGGAGGTACCGGAGCCCACCTCTTGTCCCGGTCCCATATACCTTGTCATCGGGGCTGAGATCAAAGGCAGTGATGTCCTCCTGGTCCTCCTGGGGTGAGAGTGAATGCACAGGGTGCCATGAGAATAGGCTGCCCCCCACACCAGCCCCTTACCCTGACCCTCCCCCGCCCTCACCTGCTCCAGGCTCTGCAGCATAGTCCCCGAGGCCACATCCAGGATGTTTACTCTGGTGCCACAGACACAGAAGAGGTGCTGCCCAGTCTGATCCAGCTAGTGACAAAGGAGTCTCAGTCAAGGTAACACTTTTCAGCCCCTGCCTGCCCCACCACTCTGCTCCCCTAGGCCAGTACCTGCACCTTCCCGCCCTTGTAGAAAGGCTCGATCTTGCGCTCGACAGCATAGCTGGAGGAGAGACGGGGAGAGAGTGAACCACCCACCCCTTGGTCCTCAGTGCCCAGCCCTGCGCTAGATGCTCCCCTAGAGATCAACCCAATAGGGCCCTGCCCTTGAGGAGTTCCTGCGTAGCAGCAGGGATGCAGGAAGCATGAGAGAGGAAGAGTGATGAGCTCTTCTACTGTTCCTTTCTTTAACTCTCAGCTGTACTGTGAGATGGGTACCCCCATGTTACAGAAGATTTGGGACCCTGGGCTGGTCCGTGATCCACACGGGTCCCAGGGCAGTCCAAGTCTTCCCAGACTCCCCGGTATGGAGGAAGCCAGGCCTTGGGGGCCCCCTGCTGGCCATGAGAGACAAGGCTTGGGTACCAGCCCAGAGCAACATCCTCTTCAACATCCTCAACACTTTCATTCCTGAGGTCCAGCCTGCCCCTTCCCCAAGCCCGGCTCCTTCCTCCATCTCACTCTCTGAGCAGATTCTCATTTCAGCAAAAGTGTCAGGCTGTCCTCTCCCCTCCCTCTTGGCTACTTCCATGCTGGTCCAAGCCACTGCACTCTCCTCTCCGGGGAGCTGCTGCAGCCTCTTCATTTGGTCCCTATCACTCTCTCAAACCCTGCTCCCAGAGAGGCCTTCTAGAACATAACTCTGTTCATGTCATCACCCTGCCTTAAAGTTCTCTGCTCTCCTTACACGTTTACGAGACCCTGCCTCGAGGGGTATCTCCTGACTCTTTGTGTTCACATGGGCTGTTCCCTGTATGTGGCCCGGGTCTCTCTTCCCGAATTTCAAAGGTGCCTGGATGACTCCGCTGGAGGAAGCCTGACAGCCAAGATGAAACGGAGCCCCCCTGAACCCACTCGACCATCCAACAGATGGTCTCGGCATCAGGGCTACCCCTTGCTAATGCGTGTCACAGGTCCTGATAGAAACGATTTGCTTAATATGTTTATCCCACCAGACTGCTGCACAGGGCGAGGCTGAGTGTGTCTGGTCCCGGGCACTGAGCACTTAGATGTTCAGCATAAGTTTGGGGGTTGAAAAAGCACGGGATTGAGAGCTTCCTGGCCACGGAGGACCAGCCCATCTCCTGACCTCTCTTCCTGCTGCTCCCCGGAGAAAAGGGACAGCAGATGAAACCCCCCAGGCCGCCTGCCCCAGAGGTGGTTCTTCTCCTGCTACCTGAGCGCTGGGGAGTCCCGCTCCCGTCCAGGACCAGCCTCGATCTGTGCTCAGTTCGCCCCTTCCTCCCTCTCTCGGATTTCTTGTCCCCCTCCCCCTCCCCAAACCGGCTCCAAGTTTAAGTAGCGGAAGCCAGCTGCACCCGGTGGGACTCCAGTGCCCGCCCTCCGAGAGCAGTCAGTGCCGGCTCTCCCGCGAGGACTCCGCGGGCCTGTCCGTATCCAGCGCTCACCCCCTCCCCAAATGGGTGCAGGACCCACGCCAGGCGCCTTCGCTACTCCGGCAGCGAAGCCGGCTCCCTCCCCGGCGGAGCCCCGGCTCACTTGGACTTGAAGCGGCCCACTCCGGCTGCCGCCTCCGCCATGTCGCCGCTGCCGCCGCCGCCGCGTGAGGGAGACCTGGGCGCGACACCACACTGTCGGCGCCGGGGTATGGCGTCACCGCCGGCAACTAATGTGACGTCACCAGCGCTGCGGCCTCGGCGACATCTTTGCTGAGGGCAGCGGAGCGGCGTCAGGAAGCGGAAGATGGCAGAGGTGTTTCCGGCCTTGAGGGCGGGCTGTAGAGCAACGCGGAAGCGGCTGGGGTCGACTGGCAGTGTGCTGGGGTCTCTAGCTGCCTGTCGTTTTACTGGACTTTTTTTTTTTTTTTTTTGCGGTACGCGGGCCTCTCACGTTGCGGGGCACAGGCTCCGGACGCGCAGGCTCAGCGGCCATGGCTCACGGGCCCAGCCGTTCCGCGGCACGTGGGATCTTCCTCCGGGACACGAACCGTGTCCCCTGCATCGGCAGGCGGACTCTCAACCACTGCGCCACCAGGGAAGCCCTTACTGGACATTTAAAAAGCTATTCGGGAACGTACCTGGTGGCTCAGTGGTTAAGAATCCGCCTACTACTGCAGGGGATATGAGTTCGAACCCTGGTCCAGGAAGATCCCACATGCTGCAGACCAACTAAAGTTAAACCCCTGCGCCTCAACTACTGAGCCTGCGCTCTAGAGCCCGCAAGCCACAACTACGGAAACCTGTGCGTCTAGAGCCCGTGCTCTCCAACAAGAGAAGCCACTGCAATGAGGCGCCCACTTACCGCAAGAAGAGTAGACCCGGCTCGCCGCAGCAAAAGGCCGTGCGCATCTTTATTTATAGATAAATAAATGTATTAAAAAAAAGCAAAAAAGGTATTCGTAGGAAATGTTTACTAAAGTAATCCCAAGACTCCTGCCCCCTTGGCATTCTGGGATTTGGGGCAAGAGTGGTCAGGTGTGGTGAGTTAGCAGATACAGCCTGTGAACCGGGCGCTGCCTTAGGGCTTCCAGTATAGTATGAGAAATAACGCAGGTAAATTAATAAGTCGGGTGATTTCAGAGTCGTTCAAATATTGATTGAGCACATTCCACGTGCAAAGCAGTGCTCTAGGCACTTGGGAGACACCACAGAAGCCGGTGAGCCAGTGTGAAGAACTAGTGGGAAAGACCTTGGAAAGGTTCAGGTAAACAGGCCAAGATGTCCCTTTCAGATGAGGTGAGTAATGCCTGGAGGGGAAGGCGTGAGGCCAGCAAGCACAGCGGTGGTGAGGCGGCCAGGCCGGGGCTCTGCGTTTATTTACTCTCCTATTTACAAGGTAGCTTGGCCCTGGGCCCCCCACATCTCAGCCCCAATGCTGCCTTCTGGGGGGGGCCTCAGCCTCCTCTTGCGGGGCGCCCAAGAGCAGGGCGTCATCTTCCTCCAGTAACTCTCCGAGCTGGGCCAGCTGCCGGCGGATGTGGTTGGCAGACCGGTACACCTTGCGCATGCGCCGTAGCAGGCACAGCACCAGGGTCCGGCTGCGCTCCTGGCGCTGGCACCAGGCCTTGCGCAGCTCACGGTAGCAGTTGTGGCTTGCGCGTTCGGCCGGGCACAGGGTGGCCCCGCAGCCCAGGGGGCAGCGCTGATGGGCACCATGCTGGCAATTCTGCCGGTGCTCAGCCAGGTTCCCACGAGGCACCCGCGACGTGCACCCCTCATTGGGACAGGCCATCAGCTCGAAAGGGCATGAGTCCTGGTGCCCCTTCCGATGGGCCAGGGGGCACGTCACCAGGCAGCCAGCTTCGGCGTTCTTGCACTGGGGTGGAGGAGAGCATCGTGTGAGCCAAACCAGGTGAGGCACTGCCAGCCATGAGCCGGCTGCCCCCCATAGAATCCCCCATCCATGGCATTCCACTGAGCAGGAACCACTGAACTGGGAGCCTCCCAAGCTCTTATGTACCACTGGCTTGGTGGAGAGAGGGAAACAGTGGAGCAAATGCTTGGAGGTGGGAAAAATCTAAATCTCTGAGAGGAGGGGGACAGGACCTGAGGTTTAGAGAACAGGGAGTTACATGGTTGGGTTGGTCGGGTGGATTGTTTGTATGCCAGGTTTTTTTTTTTTTTTTTTTGGTTCCACTGTGTGGCTTGTGGGATCTTAGTTCCCTGACCAGGGATTGAACCTGAGCCATGGCAGTGAAAGCACTGAATCCTAACCACTAGACCATAAGGGAACTGCCCAGTCAGGTTTTTAAAAAAAAAATCTAAATTTCCCCATCTATAAAACTATGGGGCTGGAGAGTAATGGGCAGCACAACAGACACTCCATTCTCTATAATCCCCATTTTACAGCTGGGGCTCCTGGGGCTCAGAAAGGTTAGGTAACATGCCCAAAGTCACAAAGCAAGTAAGTGGTAGGGAAGTGACTCAAATTCAGCCAAGTCTGATGACCTCAAGGAGGGCAGTCTGTTGGTGTAGAAACCCTCAGTTCTGAGGATGGGATTCTTTTCAACCTCTCTCCTGGCTCTGCTCCCCACCCCTACAGGGGTGAGGAGGGTAGGGTGGTGGGAGTGGGTGTTTTGAGCTACCTTGACTTCCAGGCGGCCAATGAGCTTCCGGAGTTTATTCACATGGACCATCTTTTTCTGTTTCACCTCTTTCCTGCAGCACGGACAGGTCTTCTGCCTAGGAGACATGAGTGGGGGTGATTATTGGGAGTCGGAGGAGAGCAAGTGGCAGCAACATGCCTCCCCTGGTGGTCCCTCCTTCTCTTTAGCTGGAAGAGACATAAGAGGGCATTATAGGGAGCTCTCAGCTCTGAGGCTGGGGCTAAGGGTTGCAGATACCACAGGGTGACCAGACTCACATAAATTAGTGTCCCAGGAGATTTGGCAGCTGAACTTTATGGCCGTCATGACCCAGTGCTTGGCTGACCTTCCTCTCTGTTCTGGGCCCCAGGAATGGCTCCCAGCCCCACCCCTGCCCTCCCAGCCTTTTGGGTGCCCAGTAGCACCTGGCTAGCCATGGGAGGATGCACCTCTTGCAGAAGATGTGGCTGCATGGCAACCTCATCGGCCTCTTGAGAACTCCATGGCAGACAGAGCACAGGAAGTTGCAGTCGGGAGGGCTGGTGAAGAGGTTGAGATCATACCCGCCACTCTGCAAAGGCCAGGACAGCATTAGGGCCTGGCTGGGACCAGGATCTGGCTCCCCACTCCACATGCCCAGAGAAGGACCCCAGGAAGCTTTGGGTGGGAGGTGGGCCACATGAGAGCCCCAAGTGGAGGGCTGGGTTAGCACCCACTATGAGGCGACAGTGGGGAGGGTCAAGACCCCCCATGACTACCAACCTCCAGCTGTAGAAGCTGGCCTTGGCCTGGAGTTAACACCTGCCCAGAGGGACTTCCCTGATGGCGCAGTGAATAAGAATCTGTGCTCCCAATGTAGGGGGCCCGGGTTCGATCCCTGGTCAGGGAACTAGATCTCACATGCATACTGCAACTAAGAGTTCTCAAGCCTCAACTAAGAAGCCCGTGAGCTGCAACTAAGACCCAGTGCAACCAAATAAATAAATACTATTTTTAAAAAAAAAAGACTTGGCCAGAGCCCTCTGAAAGGTTTCCGTGTCCTATTTGGGAGCTTGTACCCCACTGTGCACATCATCTTAGTGAGGAATGGGGTCCAGCTCTGGACAGGTCTAAATGCTCACCATGATCTCTGGATGGCAGCTCCACTGACCGCTGGGGCTCAGGAGCCTCCATTTCATAGCAGGAGCAGGCCGACATCACAGTGGCATTGTCCAGCTCAGGCCAATCACAGCCCTGGCCCAGGGCACCACCTGGCTCTTGCTCCCCTCTCAAGAGTCACAGGGCACCCCAGAGCCGGGATAGGTCTCTGGAGCCCCTGCCTTGCCTCTGCCTTGGGGGTGGCTGACAGCCATCTTCAAATAGCACTAAGGCTGGAACCAAGCTTCCAGGGGCTATTTCCTCAAAGCTGAGGCTCCAGCAGGAGCGCAGGGACTGTTCCCCTCTCCTTCCTCAAATAGGCTGCCCAGGTGGCCAGATCCCCAAGAGCTCAGGGGGCTTTAGACATGACTCATCATCAGGTCTCTTAGGATCAGAGACCTATGGAGCTAGCTCCAGGGTACAAACCAGGAGTGAGGACCAGATTTCCGTGGTACTGCAGCAGGAGCCTAGCATGTGGGAGAGCCTCCCAGAGCAGGTAGGCTGACCACCTGGGTAGGCCTATGAGGAAAGGTGTGGGGAAACCAATTTCCATGTGTGAGGCACAGAACAGAGAACTGCAGTTTCAATACCACTGAGTGTTGAGCTCATCAAATCCTAAAGACCCTAACCCTTTCCTGAGAGCAATAGGGAGCCACTGCAAGCCTCTGAGCTGCAAGTCTTACACTCCCACCCTTGTTAGTGTTTTGCTGATCCAGCCTGACTCACCTCAAGCTCAAGGTACTTTACATGCTGATGTAGAAGATACGGGGTAGGAGTAGAAATAATATGGTTTCAAACCTGGCTCTGCCGCTTTTAGAGGGTGGGATCTTAGAAATCACTTGCCAACCTTCAAGACCGGGTTCTACCCCTGCGTGGCATCCAAAGCAGAGTTGAGCTGGCCAGGAAGGTGTCCCACAAAGGTCTCCCTCCACAGCACACCTCGGTTCCCACGTCAGCAGATGCGTTTTCCAGGATGGTAGTCGGGGGTTCAAGAACACCCACACACGGATGAATCAGATCAACAGCTTTATTGAAAAACGAAAGCAGAGCCCCCCCCTTCCCCCCCCGGTCATGGCGGCGTCGGCCTCAGGCTCTGAGCATCCAGGCATCCTAAGGGTAGAAGACGAGATCAGGGATCAGGTACCAGAGTCCGGAACATGAGAGCAGCCGCAACCGGGCCCGGAGCGGCGGCGCGTGTCGGGGCCTGGGTTTCACCTCCCCACACGGAAGAGCGGGCGGTGAGCTGAGGCCCCCGGTGGCTCTGGGCGCCGAGTCTCACCTGCGGCCACGGCCAAAGCCGCGGGTGATTTTCAGCCAACGCCGATCTCCCAACCACCCCACAGCGCCGCAAAGTGCCAGGCAGAAGTACTTAATGAACAGACCTACCTGCAGCCGGAGAAGACGAGGTAGAGGCCGAGCTGTCCCTTATAGCAGCGTCCCAGTCGCGCACATTCCGGGGCCGCGGACACGCAGGCACTCGCCGAGCTCGGCGGGGGCGGGGCCCCTCGGAGCCAATCACAGGCCGTTTTATAGGCCCTTGGCGCAAGAGCGATTGGGGTGGGGCAGCCGAGATCTCGCGGCGCTTGGCGCTATATAAAGACTCCTTTGGGGGACGTTTCCTTCTTTTTTTTCCGTAGAAACACGTGAGTATTCACGTTAGTAGCTGCGGCCGGTGGGCCTGGGCGGTGGGAATCCGCCGCCATCGGGCGGGGTCCGGGCTGGTGCGCCCACGCTGTGGGGCTGAAGCCCGGCGTGGGCGTCCGAGGTGTCCGTAGATGCCAGGGCCTCACTGACCGGCTGGTTCTTGTTACTCTTTTTAGCAAATGGCGGATGACGCCGGTGCTGCGGGAGGCCCCGGAGGCCCCGGAGGCCCCGGGGGCCCTGGCATGGGAAGCCGTGGTGGCTTCCGCGGAGGCTTCGGCAGCGGCGTCCGGGGCCGGGGCCGGGGTCGCGGTCGGGGCCGGGGCCGAGGCCGCGGAGCTCGCGGAGGCAAGGCCGAGGACAAGGAGGTAGGTCTGCGCTATGCGCGTGAGGCGGGCACTTGGACGGCACCGGGAAGGCGGTCCTGGGCACCTGCTGCGCCTTTTCTTCTTCCAGTGGCTCCCCGTCACCAAGCTGGGCCGCTTGGTTAAGGACATGAAGATCAAGTCCTTGGAGGAGATCTATCTCTTTTCTTTGCCTATCAAGGTAAACATAGGTTCTCTTTTTCTTGGGTGGGGCCTTGGCCTGGCTGGGGTCGAGGGAGCTTTGTCACTGGTTGGACATTGAGGGGTCCTAGGCTCCACCTTTGGTTTTATTAAAGTTTTGTCACAAATTTTTTTCTTGTAGGAATCTGAGATCATTGACTTTTTCTTGGGGGCATCTCTCAAGGACGAGGTTTTGAAGATCATGCCTGTGCAAAAGCAGACCCGTGCTGGCCAGCGGACCAGGTTCAAGGTACCCCAGCAATCTTATTTTCCTAGGCTGTTTCTATCAAAGGCTTTTGTGAGACTCTCTCAGCTCTGCATGGTTGCACTTGTGTTCATGCGTGTGACTTTCGTAATGGGGAGAGAGAGAAAGGATCTCCTCAGGATCTCAGATAGGTCTCCTAGTGGCCAGTCTTTCCTTGAGGGGCACAACAGACCCTGTGCGGTGGGTGGCTACTGACGTTATGAAGGGCAGTGGACCACCAGCCACGTCAGTCTCTTTGCAGGCGTTTGTCGCCATCGGGGATTACAACGGACATGTTGGTTTGGGCGTGAAGTGCTCTAAGGAGGTAGCCACTGCCATCCGTGGGGCCATCATTCTGGCCAAGCTCTCCATCGTCCCCGTGCGACGAGGCTACTGGGGGAACAAGATCGGCAAGCCCCATACCGTCCCTTGCAAGGTAGGCTGGATGGTGGTGCGTGGCAGGGCCTGCAGTGGTGCAGACTCTCCAGCCCATCTCCTGACTCTACTCCTTCCCAGGTGACTGGCCGCTGTGGCTCTGTGCTGGTGCGCCTCATCCCTGCCCCCAGGGGCACTGGCATCGTCTCAGCCCCTGTGCCCAAGAAGCTACTGATGATGGCTGGAATTGACGACTGCTACACCTCTGCCAGGGGCTGCACTGCCACGCTGGGCAACTTCGGTAGGTGGCCCACATGTAGACTCTGGCTTCTCTCAGCTCTGCTCAGTCACATTCTTTGTGTGGTTGGTGTATTTTGAGAGAGAGAGGAAGGCTCTCCTAATGCACGACAGATTGGCCCACAGTGGCCTCTCTGTTCCTAGGAGTGCGACAACTTCTTGCTGTAACTGGGGGTTCATCTCAGGTCAGTTCACTAATCCTCTGCTATTTTCCCTTTTTCAGCCAAGGCCACTTTTGATGCCATTTCCAAGACCTACAGTTATCTCACTCCTGATCTCTGGAAAGAGACGGTGTTCACCAAGTCTCCGTATCAGGTACTTCCTGCCCCGCCACCCTGTTAGGCATAGGCCGGGCAAAGCAAAGGGTAGCAGTCTGTTTGGTTACAACTAAAGCCTCTTTTGTTTTTCTAGGAATTCACTGACCATCTTGTAAAGACCCACACCAGAGTTTCTGTGCAGAGGACCCAGGCTCCAGCTGTAGCCACCACATAGTTTTCTATAAAAAAAATAAAGTGAATGAAGGTAGTTTATAGTTGTCTCTTGTTTTTTTTGGGGGGGGGGCCGTACCATGAAGCTTGTGGGATCTTAGTTTCCCGACCAGGGGTTGAACCTGGGCCCCCAGCAGTGAAAGTGCAGAGTTCCTAACCACTGGACCATCAGGGAACTCCCTATTCTCAAGTTTAGTGGTGGCTGAATTTGGAAGGGAAATGGGGCCAATAAGATGAGAAATCTGAATAAGGTTTATCAATGTGTCAAGGTTGGGAGCTAAAGATGACACCACAAGGATTCCATTACTCTTTATTTTAGCAACAGCGACAGACACATGAGGTGGCTCGAGCTGCCTCAGGCAGCAGCAGTCTCTTTGGTGGCTTTTCTCTCTGCCAGCATCCTCTGCTTCTGTTTTGCCAGGCACTTCCTGGCAGAATAATGGGCCCCCAGGTCATGATCTGGGAAAGAGATGGGGAGGGGAGTCATAGGCCATGATGGGAATTTGTGGTCTTTTCTCCATGCAGGGAGGGCTTGGGCAGCTAAGACAAGTTATTGAGCAGATAAGGGATGAGGTGAGGTGGTTTTCTTTTACAACCACCAGAGATTGGGCTAATTAGCAAAACGTCTAGTACCCAGCTCTGTAGAGACTGGAAGGAGGACTGGGAAGTGGGGTGGCAGAAGCAGGAGTAGCTGGGGGCAGGCTGGGGTGGAGCTGACTCACAGCGGTCCTGGTAGGCCTTGGCCACCTGGGTGAACTGCTCCAGCTCCTTGGTACAGTTCTGCCTGTAGCTCTCACCTTCCCTCTGCTGACAGGCCTTTAGCCTTTCCTGGATAATGTTGACGATTTCCTGATCAACTTTGCTGAAAGGAAAATGAGAAAGGTGATGAACAACAGGGGTCCCCAACCCCCAGGGCCGTGGACCGCTACCGAAGCTTCATCTGCCACTCCCCATGGCTCGCATTACTGCCTGAACCGTCCCCCCACCGCCACCCTGTGGAAAAACTCTTCCATGAAACTGGTCCCTGGTGCCAAAAAGGTTGGGGACCGCTGGTCTTAAGGTCTATAAGGATTCCCTGTACTCAGGGAAAGTAAAATGAAGGCAGGGCCTGGGAGCCCTGTGGTCTGGCCCCTCCACCCCTAGATCTGGGTTGGCCACCATCTCATGGCATCCGGAGGGAATATGCTCATTGCACAGGGCTCTCAGTAGTATTCACTGACTAAGAGCAGAAGCCCAAGGGGGAGGACTTACTAGTCTCTTCTCCATTGCATTTCTGCTTCAAACATGCACAATATGTCCTTTTCCTCGCACTCAGTGATGTCCGGCACGCGGCGGAACTCACGGTGGTAGTAGTAATACCTGTTCTTGGCATGCTGCCGCTCTATAAACTCTGCAAAGAGAAAACCCCAGGTGCAAAGAGAAAACCCCAGGTCCAAAGGCCTTATTGGTTTGGAGAAGCCACAGTTTGAAAGGGCTCTTAGCTTTGTATTTCTCATAAGCCGTGGAAGAGGCAGGTTTCCCAAATGTTCCCAGCTTTTACAAAGACTGGCAATTGGACTCCCAAAGAAGAGGTGTGGGCTGGCACACAGTCCTGGAAAGGACTGGGCTACAAATGGCAATGTCTACGGTTTATGGAGAGTTTCTTGTAAGCCAGGAACCACCCTGTGTTGCATAATACATTAACTCACTTTGTCCCCACGATAACCGTATGCGGGGCAGGTCCTTTTCATTTACAGAGAGGAGACCCAGGCTCTGAGAGATGGCAGGATTCAGAGCCTGTTCTCTGCAAGCCCACACTCTGCTACAGTCCCTCCTGCCGGCCCAGCTCCCCCAGAGCACGGGGATTCCACTGTGGAGGCAAACAGGCCCCAACAGGGAGCCACCAGCAGGGATTCCAGTCCCAGTTCTGCTACTGCTGACCTTCTGGCCTCAACTTCCCCATGGGTAAATGAACAAGTTGGACCTAGTGAGATCTCATCCATCCAGACGTATAAAACACTTTCTAAAAAACTGCTATACAAAAGAGGGAGCAGATCCACTACTTGTTTTTTCCAGACCTTGGGGCGGGGTGGGGTAGGGTGAGGGTGGTTCCTCCCCCCACAAAGAGCCACCAGAGCATACTATGCACCCCAAACGTTCTGTTGTTGAATGAATGGATTGATTAATTAGGCGATTGATGAATCGCCTGGCACTAGTGACTAAGGGCATTATGCTCTGCCTGCTGCACCACCAAGATGGCTGAACCACAAACTGGACAACGATGGTTTAAAACGTTCACCTAGTTTGGACCAGAGATGGCGGAATTTGGGCAGCTCTCAAGCGTGGGCACACACGGAGGGCAAGTTACAGCACACGTAGGTGGAAGGGGCCTCGGCCATCAATGACCACCCGGGCCATTTTGCAGGCATGCAAAGGGTTGGGAGAACCCCTGTACCTCAACAGCCCTCTGTGACCGCCTGCTGTGCAAAACGCAGGATGCAAAGCGTTTAGGGAGAGTGGGATCTAACAAGCCTCAGGACGCAGATGACTTCGATCAGCAAACAGCCCCTAACATTTGAGCGAGGCCGGAGACCAGGGGTCCGTGGACGGCGGCAAGGGCCATACAGCAGTGAGGGCTCTTGGTGTGTGTGTGGCGGGGTCGTCCCAAGAGGTGAGGCCTGGGGTGCAGTGGGGAGCCAGGCTGAGTGACGGGTGCGGGGGCCCGGGAGCGGTGGGGGGCCCCGGGGCGCAAGGCCCGGCTGGGGCTCGTACCTCTCGCGAGGGTCACTGGCCGATCCACGAGGAGGTCGAAAGCCTTCGTAAAATAGGTGATAGGGTTGGTCAGAGTGGTCTGCGGCGAGGGCGCCGGCGTGCGGCGCGGGGGCTCGGGGTACACGTTGTTGTCCCAGCTGTCCGGCATGGCAGCGACGCGCGCTCTCGGACGCGATCCCGCGGCCTCCGCCTCGGTCCCGCGGCCTAGTTCGCCCGCACAGAGGACAACTGGAGAGCGGCCGCGCCTGCGCAGGACAACGACGGCGCCCGCGAGGCACCATGGGACTTGTAGTTCACCCCGCCTGCCCAAGTGTGGCCTCGGGAGATGCTTCTCAGTGCGAGCGCCCTCGCATGGGACCGCCGCGCCATTGCACTCGCGACGAGCGCCTACTGTGTGCTGGGCGCTGGTATCAGCGGTGAAGGAAACAGATCCCTATTTACATTCTAAGGGGAGACAGACACAGGAGTAAGGAAACCATTCAGTTCGGAGGGCGTGTAGGCACGTGCCAAGTGCAGCAGGGAGCAGAATGATGAACACAGCTGGGCTCTTCTGGAGAACTCAGGCCGGTAGAGCAAATAACAAAGTCAACAGATAACACAAACTGCCAAAAGCTGTACCCTTCCAGGAAGCCTTCTTGGATTGTCCATTCCCTACATCCCTCTCTGAGCTCCATTGTGTCTGCCAGGGCCCCTCATGGACTGGCTGATGCCACTGAGCTTGGAGAGGGGGCTGCCTGGGACAGCACAGGAGGTAGGGTTTCCCCTCTCCACCCTCACCCCTCCCCACCCCACGACTAGGGAGAAGTGGCTCCTACCCTGGGCACAGGGCACTCTGTTTTGGTTCTGAGGGTTCCATCCTGGCCCTGAGCACTGTTGTGCCCTTGAGGCAGCTCCACTGACCAGGGCCCTACTGGCCACCCTCTGTGATCTCCATACCTGGCACACCCTCTGGCTAGCACCAGGGAGGATGGGTGCTGGTCACTTCCTGCCCAGAGGCTGGGGTCAGTCATTAACTCTATGGACGCACAGAATCCAGAATCATAGTAACCTTAAATCTTCAAATCATGAACTCTTAGAAACTGTCACACTCAACTAATCATAACATTGGCCTGCAATGTCGGGCTGAACGAGGGGACCCAATGGAGGTGGGCCGGAGTCATCGCATGACCCGCAGTAACCAGCACGAGCTCGCCCACCAGAGGAATATGAGAAAGCAGAGTATAGTACTCAGTTAAGGGAAAGCACCCAGATGATGGCTTTCTGCTGCCACCCAGCAGCAGACGGACTCAGAGATCACGCAGCAGAAGCAGAAAAAGGCAAATGAGAGGGAGGGACCCAAGCAGCTTTGTGGCTCCATGTCCGACCCTCTGGCCCTTGGCCTGTGTGGCTGGAGCCCCCACTGTGTGCTCCCAGGCCCAGCACCGAGGGTGTTCCCTTTGGCCCTGAGTCTGCAACATGTCACTCCTGTGCTTCCTTCCTTCAGGGAGCCCCTCTCCCCCAGGGCCATTTCTGGGCTGAGGGGTTTACCCCTTCCCAGTGATTTTTTTCCTGCCAGACTCAGCCCAAAGTATTAAAAGTAGCTTTGTCATTCAAAAACAACGACAAAAACAAAGAATTGTAGATTTTAGTAGCATAGAATTTTAGCAACCAGGGATGCAAAATCCACAGACCTGCAGAGATATCTTAGGCCTGTAAAACTCTGATTCTACAATTACAGAACTTTATAACCATAAAATCTTTGAATTAAAAAATAAGAGATTTCAGGGACTTCCCTTGTGGCGTAGTGGTTAAGAATCTGCCTGCCAATGCAGGGGACACAGGTTTGAGCCCTGGTCTGGGAAGATCCCACATGCCGTGGAGCAACTAAGCCCGTGTGCCACAACTACTGATCCTGCACTCTAGAGCCCACAAGCCACAACTACTGAAGGCCGTGCACCTAGAGCCCGTGCTCCGCAACAAGAGAAGCCACTGTAATGAGAAGCCTGCACACTGCAATGAAGAGTAGCTCCTGGGCTTCCCTGGTGGCACAGTGGTTGAGAATCTGCCTGCCAATGCAGGGGACACAGGTTTGAGCCCTGGTCTGGGAAGATCCCACATGCTGCGGAGCAACTAGGCCCGTGAGCCACAACTACTGAGCCTGCGCGTCTGGAGCTTGTGCTCCACAACAAGAGAGGCCGCGATAGTGAGAGGCCCGCGCACCGTGATGAAGAGTGGCCCCTGCTCGCCACAACTAGAGAAAGCCCTCGCACAGAAATGAAGACCCAACACAGCCAAAAATAAACAAATTAATAAATTAAAAAAAAAAAAAGAGTAGCTCCTGCTGGCCACAACTAGAGGAAGCCTGCAGGCATCAACGAAGACCCAACGCAGCCAAAAATAAAATATAAATAAATAAATTTATTTTTAAAAAGTATAAAAAAGAATTTAAGTTCATAAAAATTATCTTAAGGGACTTCCCTGGTGGTGCAGTGGTTAAGACTCTGTGCTCCCAGTGCAGGGGGCCTGGGTTCAATACCTGGTCAGGGAACTAGATCCCACATGCATGCCGAAACTAAGGAGCCCGCCTGCTGCAACTAAGACCTGGTGCAACCAAATAAATAAATATTAAAAAAAAAAAGTATCCGAAGTGTTCTTGGCTCACAGCTACTAGAGTCAAGGGACCTTGATTGAATCACAGCTCTAGTGATCCTCTGGGCACACAGCCAAACTTCCCCATCTTCCCACCGTTTTTCCAGTTCAGGTTCACAGCCTCAGGACAGCACAGGAATCTGCTCTGCTTCAAGGCCAGCAAACTGGACTCAGACACTCCTAATGGCAGCTGCCCAAGGGAAGCTCCCAAACCCGAGTTCCTAAACCCCCTACCAGGCCAAGTTGTTCCCGTTTTGGAGGGTCACACAAAGCAGAAAACAAAGTGTGTGACCCAGTCCCAGGACATTTGAGGAAACGAGTGCCAGCCCTAGCTCCAGGTGCACCCCCCCAGGCTGCCCAGGCTGCCCCCCTTCGCCCTGCCCTGGGCCAGGCCTGCTTCTGACACCAGAGCCCACATCCGCCACAGGAGATGACAGAGCTCCCCTGCCAGGGGCTAAATCTGGGATCTGGCTGCTGTGCGTCCTGGCCCTGCCACTTGACCTCCGACGCCTGGTGAGGTGGCCCCTTCCCTTCCTAACCTGCAGGGACAGGCCTCCATGGTCAGTGGGCTGGTGGGAGGGGGGTTGGGGGGAAGCACGCCAGCTTCCTGGCGAGGGGCAGGTGGGCTTCTGGGATCTATCCCAGCAGAGAAGGTCCTTGGGCCTGTGACAGAGTAGGTGATTACAGGGGACAGCAGGGGGCCCAAGCTCTGGCTTCCAGGCCTAGGACAGGCAAACAGAGGGACAGATGGCAGTGGCCCCCTGCCTCTGTGGCCTTGGCTGCAGTGTGGATCTGCCTCTTCTGGGCCCAGACAGGCAGGACCAGGCCACTGAGACAGGAAGCCCACGGGTAAGGGGGGCTGCCGCTGGCTCTGTCCCTAAGACACTGCCCTTGGAGAAGTTTCCCTCCTTTCTTGTGGACAGATGCAGGCCCTGAGGGCCACCAGGTCTCAGCCTGGGGTCTCTAGCTCACTTCTGGTCTGGTCTCTGGGACTGCCCAGCTGCACCCAGCAGGGAGACCCCAGCTCTGATCTCCCTTCCCTTCTGTCCCCAGTCCCACCGGAAGTTCTCTGCCCCTCGGCATGGACAACTGGGCTTCCTGCCACACAAGAGGAGCCGCCGGCACCGGGGCAAGGTGAAGACGTGGCCTCGGGACGACCCCAGCCGGCCCGTGCACCTCACGGCCTTCCTGGGCTACAAGGCTGGCATGACACACACTCTGCGGGAGGTGCACCGGCCAGGGCTCAGTGAGTGGCCTCTAGGGGCCCCTGGGGGGCGGGCCGAGCACCCCCGACCGCCAGAAGATCTGGAGGTTCTTCCAGAGGCTAGGAGCCACAACTGGGCTTCCGGAGGGGAAACAGCCCCAGAAGGGGCCAGGCCCCGCCCATGGGCACCTCAGTCAGAACGTTGACTGCTGGCCGTGCCTCAAGAACCGATCTGTCATTGCCCCAGTTTACAGATGAGGAAATAGAGCAGTTATGAAACTTGTAAGAGCTAAGATTCAAGGGCAGGTGCCCCTACACACTTCCGGTTTTGAGATCATCGTAGTGTGGTTATAAGAAATAATACAGAGGGATTCCACGCACCCTTTACCCAGTTTCCCCAACGGAAACATCTCTTAAAACCATTGTAATATGTCACAGCTGGATAATGACATGGATACACCCTACTCATCTTATGCTGGATTCTCCTGAATAAGATGTGTGTTTATTTAGTTCTCTGGTTCTGTCACGTGTAAATGACAGTTTCTGTCATGTGTAAATGCGTGTACCCACCACCTTGGAACGTTCCATTCCCACAACAGTCCGTCCTGTTGCCCTATTATAGCCACAGCCGCCACCCCCCAACCTTCTGGCAACCACTCATCTGTTCTCCATCTCTCCTAAAGTATATATTTTTTGGCTGCGCCACGAGGCTTGCAGGATCTTAGTTCCCTGGCCAGGGATCGAACCCGGGCCCTCGGCAGTGAAAGTGCCAAGTCCTAACCTCTGGACCGCCAGGGAATTCCCCTAATATATATTTTAAGCATATACTTCTTTGACTTCAGATCAGCCTCATTAATAACATCTATAAAATCATGGGTTTAGGACAAGTCTTAGGTTTTGTTCTAGAACTCATCCATATGCATTCATAGTGCCCATTTGTACTCCCCTAGAGGATGACCAACCCTACCCTTTGGGGGACGCTGCTCTGGCTGTGGCTCTCCTGGGCGGTCTGGTGGGGAAACCAAGGCAGGAGCAGGTCAGGCCTTACCTGAGCTGAGTCAGAGCTACTATGGACACCTGTGGGGTCTTGCCCAGCAGTGGCTCCACATGCAGGGCAGAGCAGGGAGAGAAGGGCTGGGAGTGGGGAGGCTCAGGGCTGGAGGTCAGGGGCCTGCTCACAGGGGCCTCTGTCCGCAACAGCCCTGGGGCTCTGGTGCTGGGTCCTCCCGCGGGCAGGTGGGGCTGTGGTCGGCACTTCCACCCCTGTCCCCTCTCCATGGAACTCCCCATGGGACTCGGAGGCCCCCCTCCACGCCTCTGTCTCTGGGTTTCGTTCAGAAATTTCCAAGCGGGAGGAGGTGGAGGCGGTGACAATTGTGGAGACGCCGCCTGTGGTGGTGGTGGGCGTGGTGGGCTACGTGGCCACCCCGCGAGGCCTGCGGAGCTTCAAGACCATCTTTGCGGAACATCTCAGCGACGAGTGCCGCCGCCGCTTCTACAAGGACTGGTGAGGGATGCCGGGTGGTTGGGCAGGAGGAGGAGTGTCAGCAGCGTGTGGAAGGCAGAAAAGTGTGTGTGTGTGTGTGTGTGTGTGTGTGTGTGTGTATGCGTGTGAGTGTGTGATGCCTTCCCTCCAATAAAAGACAAGGACTAGAGGGCTGGAGAGGAAATTAGTTAGAGGAAAAAGGAAAGCAAACATTCTCATCCTCAGGGTGAACTAAGAACTGATTTGATGGAATGTCAGAGTTGGTTCCAAGCTTCCTAGTAGCCAGGGTGAAAAGGGAAATAGCCAACTGACAAGCTCTTTTCATCAGAAAGAAGGGCATCCTTAGGCCTCAAATCTTCCCTGGCATTAAGTCCAGAAAGGGAAGGCACCCCTGCCTGAGGAACCTCACAGACATCCCCTTCCATATGGAGGCAGAGGCACGTGTAGCCTCCATGGGAGGCGAGGACCTTGGGCCCCAGTGTCAGAGCAGGTTGTGTGACCACAGGCAAGCTGACTGACCTTTTAGAACCTCACCTCCCCCCCCACACACACACTCCCCACAGACACCATCAAATGGGAACAGGAGAGGTCTCCGCATCTTGGGGCAGCCCTGAGGATGAGCTGAGCAGAGTGTGTCAAGTGCTCAGCACAGGGAAAGAGCTCAGCGAACGCCAGCTGGCCTTGTTTTTGCTGCTGCAATTGTGATCAACTTGCCCCTCATCTGACCTCTGTGAACCTCGGTTTCTTCATCTGTAGGATGGGGATAATGATGTCCACCTTCCAGCATCCTGGCAAGGGTTAGGAACGATGGGGTGTGGGGCCTGGCCAGTCCTGACTGTTCGCTTTAGAAGTGGGTTCAGCAGCCATGGCAAAGTGGGCACGTGGCCATGGCTGGCTGGCACGCCCCTTCCCTGGGCTCCTGCACATCTGCTCACTCTCAGCCCCAGGAGGCAGGGAGGGTACCCACTTTACGGAGGAGGAAACTGAGGCCTAGAGAGGGAAAGACAGTCTGTGCTTAAGGAGGGCGCCCGGAACCAGCCCAGGGACCCCAGGGGCCCAGCAATGCCTCCCCTGGGAATGGGAGGAGGGAGGAGGGGGACATCTAAGCCCATGCTTGGTAGGATGCAGTAGAGGCTGACATTCTGGTCGTGCTGAGCACCCTCTGTGCACGGCTCAGGCACAAGAGCAAGAAAAAAGCCTTCACCAAGGCCTGCAAGAGGTGGCGCGATGCCGACGGCAAGAAGCAGCTGCAGAGGGACTTTGCTGCCATGAAAAAGTACTGCAAGGTCATCCGGGTCATCGTCCACACCCAGGTCAGCCCCTACCCCCTGGTCCACACTGATCAGCCAGTCCACCACTTGGGCCCAACCTCCCTCAGCCTGGCTTCCCTGAGCCCTGGCAAATGTCAGCCTAAAAATACTGTGAGCCTCGGGCATGGGCCCAAAGTGTCGGCTGACCAGCCAGCCGCCTGCAGCCCCGGGGATGGGGTGTTGGGCATCAGTGCACTCTGAGGGCTACAGGGTACTGGCCACACCCAGCAGTCAACCAAGGCCCTGAAATGCCCCAAAGGTCCAGGATCACCTGCCCAGTGTTGGGTGTGGGGGTCCGGCAGCCTCTGTTTGGGGTCTGGCACATGTGGGTGTGAATCAACATTCGTGAGTGGGGTCTGGCTTCGTGTGGGTTGACAGGTTACCTATACCCTCTGGCTTTTTCTGGAACGTTCAGGGAAGCCTTCCCAGGCCCGGAGCAATGACCCTCCCTACCTGCCTGAGTTACTCTCCCACTTGTAGTTCCTGGTTATGTGTGTCATTGGTTAACATCCATCTCCCTCCATAGACTTGAGCTCCATGGGGGCAGGGGTCACAGCTCCCTGCTCACTGCTGTACCACACCCCCCAGGAGGCTTATATGCAACAGGTCCTCCATCAGTACTGGTTGAGCCCTATGCTGTGACCTAACCGTGTCCCTGCTTCCCCCTCACACAGCAGCAGCCAGAGATGTTTAAAAATGTGCAACAGATCATGTCACACCCTGCACTTGGAATAAAGCCCAAGCTACTCCCTATGAGACCTGCCTGGCCAGGCCCCTGCTCACCTATCACCATCCTGAACCCTCCTCCCTGTTCACCACAGTCCAGACACACTGGTCTCGTTTCTGTCCCACCAACCACTGCTCCCCCATCTTCCCTGCCACAAGGCCTTTGCATATGCGGTTCCCTCTGCCCCAAAAGCTCTCAGATCTTCACCTAGTGGTTCCTTCTTGCCATTGATGTCACCTCCTCAGAGAGGCCCTCCTTCACCACCGTCATGTGCAATAACTGTCCCCTCCACCCTCAATATTTCATCACAACACTTAGGCCTATCCAAGAGTTTACTTGGTTTCTGCCGCCCAACTAGATGGTGGCTCCATGGGGGCCAGGACGCTGTCTGCCTCATTCCATGCTGCATCCCCAGTGCCTCGCACAGAACGTGGCATATAGGCACACCAGAGCATGGGATCATCTGTTGAATGAATGAATGCGTGAAAGTCTGCCAGGGATCACCAGCTGGCCATGTCGTATCGGCAAATGGGTGTGTGTGTGACTTTCTGGGAACCGACTGGCCGTGCCATGTCTTACAGATGAAGCTGCTGCCCTTCCGGCAGAAGAAGGCCCATATCATGGAGATCCAGCTGAATGGCGGCACGGTGGCTGAGAAGGTGGCCTGGGCCCAGGCCCGGCTGGAGAAGCAGGTGCCAGTGCACAGTGTGTTCAGCCAGAGTGAGGTCATTGATGTCATTGCCGTCACCAAGGGCAGGGGCGTCAAAGGTAGGGCTGGGTGGGGATGGCGGCTCCAGGAAGGCTGCCTGGAGGAGGTGGGGGCCAAACTGGCCTCTAAGCCACCCACCCTGCCCCTCCCACCGGCAGGGGTCACAAGCCGCTGGCATACCAAGAAGCTGCCGAGGAAGACCCATAAGGGGCTGCGCAAGGTGGCCTGCATTGGTGCCTGGCACCCTGCCCGTGTGGGCTGCTCCATCGCCCGGGCTGGGCAGAAGGGCTACCATCACCGCACAGAGCTCAACAAGAAGGTGTGTCCGCAGGCCTGGTTTGAGGGGGGATGCCCGTGACCACACCCCAGTGAGTGGGGTGCATGACCCAGATGCTGCCTGGCCCCCTAAGGCTCTGAAATGCCCCCACCAGCGCCTGGGTCTAAGCCCACATTCTGATGGGTGTGGGCATCTTGCCAGCCCCAGAGGCTACCTGCTGTCCCCAATGTGCCCTGTGCTCCTAGCAGATCTACCGCATTGGTCGGGGGCTGCACACGGAGGACGGGAAGGTGGTTAAGAACAACGCATCCACCAGCTACGATGTGACCGACAAATCCATCACACCACTGGTGAGGGTGGGCCGCCAGTTTGGCTGTGGGGCAGGCCTGTGGGGTGCTGCCCTCTCCCAAGAGCTCAGGCTACAGGGTGGACCACCTGGTGGACCAAACCCCTGCTGTTTCTGCATCCTCAGAGCCACCACTGCAGACAGCTCATCCTCCAGCTGCTGTCACAGGGTGCGGAGTGCAACAGCTCTGACTGTGGCCTTGGAGTCAGGCTGCCTGGGCTCAAACTCCAGCTGCAGTGGGTAGCAGCTGCGGGGCCTGGAGCAAGTGACTTCACCCCTCTGAGCCTCAGTTTCCTCCTCTGTAAAATGCAGATTTTTAAATAAGATAATCACGGGAAGGACTTAGGGTGTGGCTCAGATGCTGCCCTGATTAGTGATTGAGAATGTCACCCTAGGCCAGGGGAATTCTCCTAGGGCCTCCAGCTGCCTCCTAACCCAGCAGCCCCTTTCCTGGACTCACCTTCCCACAGGGTGGCTTCCCCCACTACGGGGAAGTCAACAATGACTTCATCATGCTGAAAGGTTGCATCGCGGGCACCAAGAAGAGGGTCATCACGCTGAGGAAGGTCAGTGCCAGGTGGTGAGCTGGGGAGTGGGAGCCCCATGGGCCTTGGGGGAGTTGGGCGGCTGGCCTACCCTGTCCTCCAGCCTGCTTCAGGAGGGGTGGGGATGGGGAAAGCAAAGAGGGAGAGGTTCTAACAGAATCTGGGTGAGCAAGACCTTCCTGACTGGGGGTAATGGGAGGGGCTCAGTGGGGACCTCCCACGGTGACAGCTCCCCTCTCCCACCGGCCACAGTCCCTCCTGGTGCACCACAGCCGCAGGGCCCTGGAGAACATCGAGCTCAAGTTCATTGACACCACCTCCAAGTTTGGTCATGGCCGCTTCCAGACAGCCCAAGAGAAGAGGGTCTTCATGGTGAGCCCACCAGCCTTGCTCTCTGGGGCTCTGACACCACATCCTACCTGCCCCAGAGCGGGGAAGCTGAGCAGATGGGGGTGGCACGCATGTCCCTGCACTCATCCACAGGAGGGGGCTTTTAGGGGTCCAGTCCTGGGCACTGATTCTTGCCAGAAAGGAAGTAGGGGAGGAACAAGTGGGAGAGGGCACAGGGCCGACTCCGCGTAACCCAGGCGGCTGGTTAGACCCCTGTGACTAACGCTCCTCCTGTCCCTCTCCCACCAGGGTGTCCAGAAGAAGCATCTTGAGAAGGAAAAGCCGGAAACCTCGGGAGACTTGTAGGCAGGATGGGATGGAGGGAGCCTGAAAAAAGCGCGGCGCAACCCCCGCCTGTCCCCTTGTCTAATAAAAGCCAGAGACAACTCTTCCCGCGGTGTCTCAGAGTTGGGGGGCGCGGAAAGGCTGGTCAACGGCCGGCAGCCCGGGGCTTAAGCGCCGGGAAACGACGAGAGCGTAAGCGGCTCAGTGTGGTGCACCGCGACAGCCACCCCAAACCCAGCGCAGCTCAGCGCCCCGTCCTGCTGCTAGGGGCAGGGGGGCAGGGCGGCAGGGGCGGGGCCGCGGGGACCGCTCAGGAGTGGTCCTTAGTGGTGGGCGGGGCCTGCTGGAAGACGGAGGGGGCAGGTCCTCGGGAGGGGGCGGGGCCTCCTGGAGGCGGAAGCCGGAACCCTAGTCCCGGGGTGGGATTGGTCCGTGGAAAGGGCGGGTCAACGGGAGGCGGGCCCTGCGAGGGTGTCTCGCACCTCTGGACGTGATTGGTCCCCTTGGGGGGCGCGGCCTAGGGCGCCGGGGCAGGTCCGGGATCCGAGTGGGATTGGTTCTCGGGAGGCGGGGCAGGAGGCGGGCACAAGCACCAGGTCGTAGGTCTGTGGCCTCGGATCTGTTGGAGGCGGCGATCGTGCAGAGGTCCCGCCGGCGCCATGTCGTTCTGCAGCTTCTTCGGGGGCGAGGTTTTCCAGAACCACTTTGAGCCGGGTACGACCTGTGACCTCCTGGAGGACAGCGGGGGCGGGGACGCGTATTAGAGGGGGCGTCGCAGCCCTCCGGGTGGCGATGGAGCCCCGGAGTCCCGGGAACGGGGGCCGAGTGTGACCGCGCGGGGAGGAACGCATGTGGATAAAGGGGATACAGAGAAGGGAGGAGTTGGGGGTTCCGGAGAGTAGGGGTACTTGAGGGGAGAGGGACATTGGAGAGAGGGTGTCGCTGTCCTCGAGGACAACAGAACTTGAGTGTGAGCGTGGCCTTTTCCGAGGAAATCTGCGGGGTCAAGGTATGGGGGTGGTGACGCCGTTGCGGGTATCCGGGTCAGGATCGGAACTTTAGGGGGAGGCGGTGGAAGGTCTTGTCCAGGGGCAGCTCCTGTGACTGGCCTGCCTCTCCTTGGGGCATCCTCCTGATATTACTCCAGCCCTTTCTTCTCCCCGGTGCCCCAGACCTGCGGGGTAAGCTGGAAAGCACGTCTTGTTGGGATCCAAATGTGACCGCCTGGGTGCCTACCCCACCTGCCCAGGGCCCCAGATTTGGGTAACCAGGAGTGCTGCCAGGCTGCCAATGGCCAGTGAAGTTTGACTGGACAGCCTGGGTCAGATAGGAGGGGTGGAAGGTAGGGGGTGAGTGGTTGGTTTGGGGGCATGGCCGGCAGTCAGCCCTGGGCCCAGGCTTTGAGAGGCCCAGATGAATCCCCTTCTGGGCTGTGCTGCCTGGTCATGGACTAATTTGGTAAAAATATGTCCACAGGCAAGACTAGGGCAGCGACCTACCCCTGGGTGGGATTTGTTGGGTGTCAGCCCTCGAGGGAGCTGGGATGTGACACCCTGGTCTCTGTGAGCCAGCTGTGACATAGGACCCTCTGGGCAAAGTCCTCCCTTCAGACTCTCTGGCTGTGGGACTCCGGGTTGTCCTCAGGCTACTCTGCCAAGCTGGAAACTCCACTCCCACAGCAGCTCCCGTTTCCTCTTTTCTTCCTCAAGTTACTGGTAAAGGCTGAGTAGGTCACAGACTCCAGGGCAGGCTGTCTCCAGGCCAGGCAGGGGGCGAAGGGTGACTCAGTACCCCTCGAGTGACCCCCAAGCAGTTTCCTGTTCTGCGAGTCAGTTTTGCAACCTTTCTTTTTCCCCCCTCAGGGTGATCTTTTGGCGGTAGGTTAAAACTCATCCTTCTCCCTGGTGCTCTGTCTTCCTGGCCCTCTGTCTGACTGGAGGTCTTTTGCTGGGATCAGTCTTTTCCTGCTTGGAGAGCAGGCTGGTGTCTGGGCATCCACCTTACGGCTTCTTTGGGCAGAGGGAGGTCCACGTGGGAAGGGCGGGGGGCTAGTGGTGGTGCTGGCCATGCCACAGCCCCCACTGTGTGGGGCCTGCTTGTGTGTGAGGGGCAGAGCTGTGTCCTCATCAGACTGCCTGGGTTCCTTCCTGGCTGCACACCCTGTAGCTGAGCATTTTGCATCCCTGAGCCTCAGCTTCCTCATCTGTAAAATGGGAACATCTGCATTACAGGGCTGTTAAGAAGAGTGAAAGAAATAATTGTGAAAAGTGGCTCTCCTGGCCTCTGGCACAGGCTCAGAACTGCTAAATGTGAGCTCCATGCTGTGTCTCCCCCACAGAGCCGATACCCAGGCTTATGGGTGGTGGGTGGGTGAGTGGGGAGGGTGTGCAGCCCACCCTGTAACCGGAGTGCTGCTGTCCTCTCCTGGGTTCAAGGATTTAGGTGCTCACCCCCAAGGCGCTGGAGCCAGCATCTCTGCTTTTACCTCCCCTTCCGCCCCAGGCATCTACGTGTGTGCCCAATGTGGCTATGAGCTGTTTTCCAGCCGCTCAAAGTACGCACACTCATCCCCATGGCCGGCCTTCACCGAGACCATCCATGCTGACAGTGTGGCCAAGCGTCCAGAGCACAATCAGCCTGGAGCCTTAAAGGTGGGTGGTAGCAACTGGGGGGCGGTGAGGAGGTGTCAGCCAGGGGGGTCCTGAGAGCCCCCCACCCCTTCCTGCTGTTCCCCCTACAGCTGTAGGGGCCTAGGGTCTGTCTATTCCAGACCTCTGGCTTCAGCCAGGGGAGTGACACCCCAAACTATTGGGAGAGCCTGGGGTCCTGGTGGGAACAGGGAAACAAGATGGTTTTCCGGGGCAGGTTCTGGGCCAAGGCCAACCTCTCATGCCAGAAGTTACCTTGGGAAATAGGCATGGGGAGGACCCCATGTGCTGGTGGCAGCAGGGGCCATGGCTGCAGCTGTTTTCATGGCTGTTTTGTGGTCTTCCCAGGTGTCCTGTGGCAGGTGTGGCAATGGGCTGGGCCATGAGTTCCTGAACGATGGCCCCAAGCGTGGACAGTCCCGCTTCTGAATATTCAGCAGCTCACTGAAGTTCATCCCTAAAGGTGAGCTTGCCTGCCGGCAGCTGGGCACAGGCCTACGTACAGGCCTTTAGAGGCCCAGGGGCACACTGTTCTCATGCACTTACAGTGACAGAGCATGGGGGCACCAAAGCGCGCTGCCCAGGGCCACTGGAAGGTGGCTGCGGGACAGGGACAAAGGGCAGATGTCCTGCCTCCTGCATCTGGTTGATTGTGTGCAGGGTGGTGCGGAGGTTGAGTTCTGGGGCTGTGCAGCTGCAGGCTTGCTCGTCAACCTCTCTGAGCCTCCTCATCTTCTGTGTAGTGGGCGTGATGGCAGAGCCTCCTTTACAGGCCCGTTAAGACTGGCTGCATGAAAGTGCACTGGGGTCTGGAGTGTAGTAGGGGCTCAGTAAATATGTGCTCCTGTTGGCAATATTCTTATCACTGGTAGATTGTTTGGGAGCCGTTTTTCATTTGTGTGTGTTTTATCTGAGCTCAGCCTCCTCTCTGACCCATTGCTCTCTGTCTGCATCCCCAGCCGCCCTCTGGACTCCTTCGCACTCTTTGTACCTCAAATCCCTCTCCTCATTTGCTGCCCGCAAGACTGCGGCCAGTCCCTAGTCTCAGTTTTATCCTCTGTAAAATGGGGTTGCTAACAGCACCTGCTCGCTGCCCTCACTGTGGGGTTAAGTGAGGCTGTCTGTGAGGGCCGGTGCGTGATAAAGTTTTGATAATACTTTTGTCCTTTTGTAGCTATTTGTCCTCCGGTACGTGTGGAGGAAAGACAGACTCTGGGTTCTCCTGCAGATCTCAGGGAAAGAACTGGGCACAGAGACACCCCCAGGCTGCGGGTCTGGGTCCTCCCAGCTCTCTTGGTCTGCAGGCTGCAGTGGGAGTGGGCTGGGCCAGGGAACGGTGTCTGAAACCTAAGTTAGCAGCGACTTGTTTTTCTCTCCCTTCCCTCATTTCTTCCAGGCAAAGAAACTTCTGCCTCCCAGGGACAGTAGGTGGGCAGCCCACACCCAACCCAGATGGACACTGCTTTGTGGCCACACTCTGGACATCCCACCTTAGAAGTGGAACCTCAGACATTTGGACAGGGGAGCGGGGGTTGGGGGGAGAGGGGTAGCTGAAACATCAGGAAGGTTCCCGAGGCCTTGCCTCCGAACAGGCTAGGAGAAGGGAAGAGGCTGCGAAAAGGAGAAGGCTACACTAGGCTGCCAGGGGGTGCCTGGAGGCCCCACTGTCAGCTCTCACAGTAGTCTCAGGGAGGGGGCTCTAGGCCTGGCTCGTCTTAGAGTGATGGTGCAGCCTCTACCTTCTCTCCTCAGCCCGCTGCCCCCTCCCTGCCTGTTTGGACTCACCCCGGTGAGGCCCAGTTCTGAGATGGGCTCTGGCCCTCGCCGAAGCTCTTGCCTGTCTCCAGCAGGCTGTGCTAGGAGAGAGAACGCAAACAGGGGCGGCTCCAGTTGGCTGCTCCAGCCCTGGTCACTCTATGATTCTCTCTGACTAAACCCTTCCAGGCAGCCAGAGTGGTGATGATCTGTGACCTGCTGGGGGAGCAGGCAGAGGGGTCAGATCTCTGGCCTCTCGGTTATGAAAGGAGAAATCCCGAACCCTGTTGCACCATCTGTGTGGATGCTGCTTGCCCCACTCAGGCTTAGGAAAGCAGCTATTGCTCCATCGCCTTGACTGTGCAAGGCTGGGGACACCGGAGCTCACAGCCTACAGTTCACCATTTCCGGGGACACAGTGACTGTGCCTCACTGCACATGCTCTGAGGGTCCTGCCATCAGGGAGGGTGGGCGAAGTCCCTTCCATCTTGAATCCTCTTTGGAGTAATCAGGAAGAGATCAATAAACAAACAGAACCCAGGCTTGCTGTCTTTATTAACAACATCAGGGACTCCAGGACCCAGGGTCAGGCTTTGCACAGCTGTTTCACTTGTTCCACAAATAGTTATTGAGCTCAGTGTCAGGCTCTAGCTTCAGTGCTGGGGATGCAGCCATGAGAAAGGCAGATGGGGCCTGCCCTTAAGGTCTTTTTTTTTTTTTTTAATTTTTAAATTAAATTAAATTTATTTTTATACAGCAGGTTCTTATTAGTCATCAATTTTATACACATCAGTGTATTCATGTCAATCCCAATCACCCAATTCATCACGCCACCACCACCACCCGCTGCCGCTTCCCCCCTTGGTGTCCATACGTTTGTTCCCTGTATCTGTGTCTGTTTCTGTTCTGCAAACTGGTTCATCTGTACCATTTTTCTAGGTTCCACATATATGCATTAATATACGATATTTGTTTTTCTCTTTCTGACTTACTTCACTCTGTATGACAGTCTCTAGATCCATCTACATCTCAACAAATGACCCAATTTCGTTCCTTTTTATGGCTGAGTAATATTCCATTGTACATATGTACCACATCTTCTTTATCCATTCATCTGTCGATGGGCATTTAGGTTGCTTCCATGACCTGGCTATTATAAATAGTGCTACAATGAACATTGGGGTGCATGTGTCTTTTTGAATTACGGTTTTATCTGGGTATATGCCCAATAGTGGGATTGCTGGATCATATGGTAATTCTATTTTTAGTTTTTTAAGGAACCTCTGTACTGTTCTCCATAGTGGCTGTATCAATTTACATTCCCACCAACAGTGCAAGAGGGTTCCCTTTTCTCCACACCCTCACCAGCATTTGTTGTTTGTAGATTTTCTGATGATGCCCATTCTAACTGCTGTGAGGTGATACCTCATTGTAGTTTTGATTTGCATTTCTCTGATAATTAGTGATGTTGAGCAGCTTTTCATGTGCTTCTTGGCCATCTGTATGTCTTCTTAGGAGAAATGTCTATTTAGGTCTTCTGCCCATTTTCGGATTGGGTTGTTTGTTTTTTTAATATTGAGCTTCATGAGCTGTTTATATATTTTGGAGATTAATCCTTTGTCCGTTGATTCATTTGCAAATATTTTCTCCCATTCTGAGGGTTGTCTTTTCGTCGTCTTTATGATTTCCTTTGCTGTGCAAAAGCTTTGACGTTTCATTAGGTCCCATTTGTTTATTTTTGTTTTTATTTCCATTACTCTAGGAGGTGGATCAAAAGTGTGATTTTTGTCAAAGAGTGTTCTTCCTATGTTTTCCTCTAAGAGTTTTATAGTGTCCGGTCTTACATTTAGGTCTCGAATCCATTTTGAGTTTATTTTTGTGTATGGTGTTAGGGAGTGTTCTAATTTCATTCTTTTACATGTAGCTGTCCGGTTTTCCCAGCACCACTTATTGAAGAGACTGTCTTTTCTCCATTGTATATCCTTGCCTCCTTTGTCATAGATTAGTTGGCCATAGGTACGTGGGTTTATCTCTTGGCTTTCTATCCTGTACCATTGATCTATATTTCTGTTTTTGTGCCAGTACCATATTGTCTTGATTACTGTAGCCTTTGTAGTATAGTCTGAAGTCAGGGAGTCTGATTCCTCCAGGTCTGTTTTTTTCCCTCAAGACTGCTTTGGCTATTCGGGGTCTTTTGTGTCTCCATACAAATTTTAAGATTTTTTGTTCTAGTTCTGTAAAAAATGCCATTGGTAATTTGATAGGGATTGCATTGAATCTGTAGATTGCTTTGGGTAGTATAGTCATTTTAACAATATTGATTCTTCCAATCCAAGAACATGGTATATCTCTCCATCTGTTTGTATCATCTTTAATTTCTTTCATCAGTGTCTTATAGTTTTCTGCATACAGATCTTTTGTCTCCCCTAGGTAGGTTTATTCCTAGGTATTTTATTTTTTGTTGCCTTGGTAAATGGGAGTGTTTCCTTAATTTCTCTTTCAGATTTTTCATCATTAGTGTATAGGAATGCAAGAGATTTCTGTGCATTAATTTTGTATCCTGCAACTTTACCAAATTCATTGATTAGCTCTAGTAGTTTTCTGGTGGCATCTTTAGGATTCTGTATGTGTAGTATCATGTCATCTGCAAACAATGACAGTTTTACTTTTTCTTTTCCAATTTGTATTCCTTTTATTTCTTTTTCTTCTCTGATTGCTGTGGCTAGGACTTCCAAAACTATGTTGAATAATAGTGGTGAGAGTGGACATCCTTGTCTTGTTCCTGATCTTAGAGGAAATGCTTTCAGTTTTTCACCATTGAGAATGATGTTGGCTGTGGGTTTGTCATATATGGCCTTTATTTTGTTGAGGTAGTTTCCCTCTATGCCCACTTTCTGGAGAGTTTTTATCATAAATGGGTGTTGAATTTTGCCAAAAGCTTTTTCTGCATCTATTGAGATGATCATATGGTTTTCATTTTTCAATTTGTTAATATGGTGTATCACATTGATTGATTTGTGTATATTGAAGAATCCTTGCATCCCTGGGATAAATCCCACTTGATCATGGTGTATGATCCTTTTAATGTGTTGTTGGATTCTGTTTGCTAGTATTTTGTTGAGGATTTTTCATTTTTTTTTTTTCCGGTACGCAGGCCTCTCACTGTTGTGGCCTCTCCCGCTGTGGAGCACAGGCTCCAGACGCACAGGCTCAGTGGCCATGGGTCACGGGCCCAGCCGTTCCGCAGCATGTGGGATCTTCCCGGACTGGGGCACGAACCTGTGTCCCCTGCATCGGCAGGCGGACTCTCAACCACTGCGCCACCAGGGAAGCCCCTGTTGAGGATTTTTGCATCTATATTCATCAATGATATTGGTCTGTAATTCTCTTTTTTTGTAGTATCTTTGTCTGGTTTTGGTATCAGGGTGATGGTGGCCTCATAGAATGAGTTTGGGAGTGTTCCTTACTCTGCAATTTTTTGGAAGAGTTTGAGAAGGATGGGTGTTAGCTCGTCTCTAAATGTTTGATAGAATTCACCTGTGAAGCCATCTGGTCCTGGACTTTTGTTTGTTGGAAGATTTTTAATCACAGTTTCAATTTCATTACTTGTGATTGGTCTGTTCATATTTTCTATTTCTTCCTGGTTCAGTCTTGGAAAGTTATACTTTTCTAAGAATTTGTCCATTTCTTCCAGGTTGTCCGTTTTATTGTCATAGAGCTGCTTGTAGTAGTCTCTTAGGATGCTTTATATTTCTGCGGTGTCTGTTGTAACTTCTCCTTTTTCATTTCTAATTTTATTGATTTGAGTCCTCTCCCTCTTTTTCTTGATGAGTCTGGCTAATGGTTTATCAATTTTGTTTATCTTCTCAAAGAACCAGCTTTTAGTTTTATTGATCTTTGCTATTATTTTCTTTGTTTCTATTTCATTTATTTTTGCTCTGATCTTTATGATTTCTTTCCTTCTGCTAACTTTGGGTTTTGTTTGTTCTTCTTTCTCTAGTTCCTTTAGGAGTAAGGTTAGATTGTTTATTTGAGATTTTTCTTGTTTCTTGAGGTAGGCTTGTATAGCTATAAACTTCCCTCTTAGAACTGCTTTTGCTGCAGCCCATAGGTTTTGTTTATTTATTTTTATTTTTTTGATTGTGTTGGGTCTTCGTTTCTGTGCGAGGGCTTTCTCTAGTTGTGGCAAGCGGGGGTTACTCTTCATCGCGGTGCGCGGGCCTCTCACTGTCGCGGCCTCCTCTTGTTGCGGAGCACAGGTTCCAGACGCGCAGGCTCAGTAGTTGTGGCTCACGGGCCTAGTCGCTCCACGGCATGTGGGATCTTCCCAGACCAGGGCTCAAACCCGTGTCCCCTGCATTAGCAGGCAGATTCTCAACCACTGCGCCACCAGGGAAGCCCAGCCCATAGGTTTTGGATCGTCGTGTTTTCATTGTCATTTGTCTCTAGGTATTTTCTGATTTCCTCTTTGATTTCTTCAGTGATCTCTTGGTTATTTAGTAATGTATTGTTTAGCCTCCATGTGTTTGTGTTTTTTATGTTTTTTTCCGTGTAATTCATTTCTAATCTCATAGTGTTGTGGTCAGAAAAGATGCTTGATATGATTTCAATTTTCTTAAATTTACTGAGGCTTGATTTGTGACCCAAGATGTGATCTATCCTGGAGAATGTTCCATGCGCACTTGAGAAGAAAGTGTAATCTGCTGTTTTTGGATGGAATGTCCTATAAATATCAATTAAATCTATCTGGTCTATTGTGTCATTTAAAGCTTCTGTTTCCTTATTTATTTTCATTTTGGATGATCTTTCCATTGGCGTAAGTGAGGTGTTAAAGTCCCCCACTATTATTGTGTTACTGTCGTTTCCTCTTTTATAGCGGTTAGCAGTTGCCTTATGTATTGAGGTGCTCCTGTGTTGGGTGCATATATATTTATAATTGTTATATCTTCTTATTGGATTGATCCCTTGATCATTATGTAGTGTCCTTCCTTGTCTCTTGTAACATTCTTTATTTTAAAGTCTATTTTATCTGGTATGAGTATTCCTACTCCAGCTTTCTTTTGATTTCCATTTGCATGGAATATCTTTTTCCATCCCCTCACTTTCAGTCTGTATGTGTCCCTAGGTCTGAAGTGGGTCTCTTGTAGACAGCATGTAGATGGGTCTTGTTTTTTTTTGCGGTATGCGGGCCTCTCACTGTTGTGGCCTCTCCCGTTGTGGAGCACAGGCTCCAGACGCGCAGGCTCAGTGGCCATGGCTCACGGGCCCAGCCGCCCCGCGGCATGTGGGATCTTCCCGGACCGGGGCACAAACCTGTGTCCCCTGCATCGGCAGGCGGACTCTCAACCACTGCGCCACCAGGGAAGCCCCTGCCTCCATTCTTCTTCAGAGGTCCTGGATCATCTTCACTATCATTATTCTGAATTCTTTTTCTGGAAGGTTGCCTATCTCCACTTCATTTAGTTGTTGTTCTGGAGTTTTATCTTGTTCCTTCATCTGGTACATAGCCCTCTGCCTTTTCATCTTGTCTGTCTTTCTGTG